GAGGTAAACAGACTTAAGGGCCTGTGTTCCTGGCCATGGCCCAGGCAGGGGTGAGAAGCCTTGGGGGCAGGCGAGCTGGTACTTTTCCAGGTGGCTTGCATGTAGTATGGGACAGTGAATGATGGTCCAGGAGCAAATGACTCATGGGCCCGACACTGGAGATGGACTTGTGTTCAACTTTGTTCGAGAGGACGTGCACTCTGTGTGTGTTGTCAGGAGAGCTAACGTGGGCCCTTTCTATCGTGGGCTCTTTCTGTCGCCTCAGCAGCCCTGGGAGCTCTGCTGCCTATCAGGGAGATAAACTGGCCTCAGTCTAGGCAGGATCCCAGTCTGGATACCTGGCTGTGAGCATTTTTGCTTGGGTAAGTTCTAAAGTGCAAATCCTGGAAGCAGTCTTGGACATCCCACTAGGCAGTTCCAGATCGAGTGTCAAGGCCCAAGGGTGTGCACCAGCGATGAGGAACCAGACACACAGGTGTGTGGTGGGATCAGGCAAGTGATGAGCTCGCTGCTGTCTCTGTCCCTCTTCCAGGCTTGTCAGAGAGCTTCCCAGAGGAGCAGTGGCTATAGGATGAGAGGGAGGGTCATGGTCAGATGCAAAGGGTGGACATGAAGGACATGGCCTAATCAGAGACCTGGAGGCTCAGCGGAAGAGTAGGTTGACGAGCCTGACCTTATCCTTCATGCAAGAAGTGCTAAGAGAGACAGTCTGGGGACTTTGGGACAGGGTAGGTAGCTCAGACTTTGCCCAGGGCAGCCTGTTCAGAGCTCAGAGATATGGCTTGCTTGGAGATCAGGGTCTTGTAGAGTACCCCGTTTGTGTTTTACTTGGTGGGAGACCCCAAGCTCTGAGTATCCCTGTTTCCTTGAGCTGGACTTGTAGGACTTGGACCTGGGGGTGGCAGCACATATCTGTAATGTCAGTTCTCAGGTGGCTGAGATAAGAGGGTATAGACTTCAAGACTGGCCCCAGCTTCATAGTAAGACTCTGCCTCAAAGTGAATCGTTTGGAGTAGGAACTTTTAGCCCCCCCTAACAGCTAGGAGGACTTTCTAGCTGGCTCTTGTCTTCATTTTGGAGTTGAGCCCCTGGATCAAGCTGGGTGCCTCCTCCCTGGTCTCTGTGACTCACTGCAGTCTTGTGTCTCAGATGAACAATGCATGGCCCAGGTGACTGATGAGTGAGTGGCCCAATCCTCTCTCAGTGGCCATAATGGGTCCTTCTCCCCTGCGTGGAAGGGACAAGTAGACTGTTGTGGATGGCCCAGTCACAGTTGGGCATTCAGGAGGGCTGCTATGCCACTTGAGGGGCCATCATCTCTTTAGAGTGTAGCCATTAGCACAGAGCTCCCAAGGACATTCTAGAACTGTCTTATGTGTCTGTGAAACCCATATGTGGGATCAGCACTGCTTTCTTCTTCTTGGTGCACCCTGCCTCCCCCCACTCCCCCCTGTAGAAAGTGCTTTTCATCATAGATCTTTCTGAGAGCCTCACTGGGCCTAGGCCACTGACGGTGACACTGGCTTTGTTTCCAGCCTAGGGTAGACCTGCTGCTCTCCGGTCAGATTGGTTGCAGCAGAGAGGCCCCTAGAGGATGGGACCGGAGAAGGGAGCGTGACAGGCAGTCACACAGACTGACTGTGGTTGCCGTGTGTGGGCCCCTTGGCCGCTGCTGGTTTCCTTCTGCCGATCTTGCATCCCTCGTCAGAGGCCCTGCAGCTGGTCCCAGGGGTGGCCCGCCGGAAGGGCTTCCTCCTTACACCCTCTTCTTGGACCTTGGGGATTTGGTCCATTGACTGGCAGCCTTTGGAGAAGGTGGTTTCCTTCTTCCTCGCTTCGAGGAAGGTCAGGCTGACTGACGTACACCTGAGGGCTGAGGAGAGAGGGTGTGACGGGAAAAACAGAGGAAGTGGCTCAGGCCTGTTCCAATCGCAAGGGTGGGAGGTGCCAGGGTACTCTGAGAGCCCCACAGCAACCAAGACTGAGCTGGGGCGAGAGGGGCCAGTGTGGGGGAACCCAGGCATGGCGTAGCCAGCGCCGTGACTCCTGCAACTGACCTTACACCTGCTGCTCTTTGTGGTGAGGCCCCTTCCCTGCCCCTCTTACGACTGAGGGTCTCAGTTATGTTTGCAGAACTCAAATAGGAGGAGGAGGGGAGTGTCTGGAACTAGTGAAGAGGCTGTCTGTGTCCAGCAAGCCCTTGCTGTTGGCCCAAAGAAAAGTGAACACAGAGTGGTGTGTGTTGAGTCTGACATGCCTGACTTCAGGTCCTGGTGACATGATCATGTGTGACCATAGGCAAATTACCTTGTTCCTGTAAGCCTTCCCCAGCTTACCTACAAAATGGGAGTTAAAAATATCCATGCTTGATAACAGGAATTTTACAAAATACAAAGTTCTTTGGACCCTCCTGGCGCAGGCAGGCCGAATTATTACCGTTGGGGCTGCTTAGAGTGTGGCTGCCTAGGTGGCCCTTCCTAGTCCCCATAGGTCCCAAGCACCCTGTTCCCTTGGGCCTGTGTGTTTGTGGCCTGCTTGCAGTGCAGGAAGGGCAAAGAGGTGGAGATCTCTGCAGCAAGAACTCCTGGGTGATTCTTCCCCTCCCCCATGTTTCTAAGGAAGTCGTCTCTCCTGTTGTGGTGTGCTGAATGGTGGGTTCTCCCTTGTGTGCAGGGTAGGCAGCAGGGCAACTGGTCCCACCTTCTGACTGAATGTCTCCCCTGCCACCCCCCAGATCCATGGGCAGTAGCAACCAAACCCTGGAGCTCTTCTCCACAGACTCCACCTCATGTCCTCCAAACCTGCACCAGGCACTGAATAGCCATTCCCCTGCCGAGGCCCCCTCCGACAGGAACATGTCTGCACGTGCACCCGTGCCTGCCTGCCACGTGGGCCTTCCCCTGTCCCAGGCCCCCAAAGCCCATACCGCGGCTCCCACAAATGACTGTGAGCATCCCTGAGCTTGCAGCCCCCTAGAGGCACATGGCCTGCTGGGCTTCCCTCTGTCCTGTCTCCTCCCTCTCACATGTGCTTTCTTCCTCAGTCTCGCTGCAGACACATGCGTATTTCTATTTCTAGTTTGCCGGACTCGGGTCTCCCTCAGAGAGGTGGAACTCTTCGGTCCCACCCTTCAGCTGCATGGAGACCCCATGGTGATTTTCCCTCTCTGACTTTGGTTCTCTGCTGTGAATTGATCTGGCTGCCCAAGGATGGGGGTTTAAAAAGCAAAAGGAAGATTTGTTTAAAAAGCTTGTTACTCTGGCCCTCTGCTCTGAGCTCCTATCCAAATTCTTCCCTTACTGCTGGAGCTAGGGTACCTCAGTGCCACTCTGGCCCCCTTTCCCTGCAATTTATAGGCAAATGGAAACAAACGAAGTGGCTTGCACCGTCTTCAGGGCCCGGGAGCCGAGGAAGGAAATGGAGGAGGAAGTTGCTCCCCTTCTGGGTGCTGGGTGAAAGTGAAAGAGAGGGAGGGAGCCTCCGTGAGTCAGGCAGTCAAGCTGGCAGGCCGGCCAGTCCCGGAGCCTGGCTCGGAGCTGCTTCGGAAACCTGCAGAGCAGCGATAGCACCGGGTGTCTGGGAGGGGAACCAGGCTAGGTATGGGCAGGGCTTGTTGTGGGCAGGACTTGTGACGCCTGGTCTGTTCCTGCTGGTTTTCTGGGAACTGCCCCACCTGCTAACATGTCTGTTGCATTCAGAACTTAACCAGGATCTGCGGGTTCATCTTTGCCTGCCTCTAGTCTTCCTACCTTAGAGTCCCAAGGCCAGAATCTTGGGGGAAGAGGTGGACTGTTATACTTCCTACTCTTACTAAATTCCCAGGAAGAAAACAAATTAAAGGAATGAACAAAAGTTTATCTGAAGAAAGAACAGAAGTTTAATGATATAGCAAGCAGCTATGCATGTGGTAAAATACAGGCCTGGGTTGTTTTCTGTAGCAATGACAACTGTCATTAACAGCCAGGTGGTGGTGGCCCACACCTTTAATCCCAGCACTCAGGAGGCAGAAGCAGGCAGATCTCAGTGAGTTCGAGGACAGCCTGGTCTACAGAGCGAGTTCCAGAGAAACCCTGTCTCGAAAAACCAAACCAAACCAAACAATCGTTGAAAACATCAAGTTAGAGGGGGTTGAAGAATCTAGTCTGATTCATGCCTGCAACATGTGCTCCATACATATGAAGCCCCCATCCCAGCTACCCTATCCCCAAAATTATGGCGAAGCAGAACACTGAGCACATCTCGGGAAGTCTTGGGTACCGAGTTTTAGAACTTTGCACCCGTTGTATTTGAGTTGGATTCTGCTTTAGCCAGCTGCTCTTTAGCAGTGGAGGGGAAGGAGGTGGCAGCCGGCCCCAGCTGCTGACCAGCTACTAGACTAAATTGGGCCCCCATCCAGCCAGAGTTGCAAAACAGGTTCTGTGCTAGTTTGAGAAAGACTCCCGACAGCCAGAGCCCCACCCAGCAGCTCTTCCCAGGGGTGGGGCCTCACCTACATGCCTCAGCATAAAAGGCTGCAAGCCTAGCTCTCTGGGCCCTAGGCTTTGCAAGAGCTTGCTGTAGCTACAAAGAATGGGTGGCCATACTGGGAACAGTCCCTGTTTCCTAACTTCCTTTGTCTTCAAGTGGAGTGTTGGCAATGGCGGTGGCCTGAGGAAGATTCCAGGCTGCCCAGTGCTGGAACTTAGTTTAATAGGACAAGGTTCTTAGTTTGTCCTTTGTTTTCCCCTTTCTCAGCTTGCCTTGGGGCCTAGGCTACATGTCAACTCCATGTGGTCCCTCAGCATGTGTCGCTTTTACAGGGCTCAAATTACACACCGAATGCCGCAGACTTGGAGTCCAGCCAGAAGGTGGTGGGACAAGAGGAGGGTGACAGTATACTAAATACTGTCCCTGGCCCTGCTGCACTCCTGGCCCCTGTGTACAGTGACCTGAGGCAGGGGGACACTACTGATACTCAGGGATCCTGTGGCTGATGGCTGTCTCTGCTTTTTCCTCTGCAGGCTCCAGGACCTGGTGTGGCATCATGATCGGGGGCGTGTAGCTGAGCTCAAGGGCCTCTCCAGAAGAGGAAGGACCAGAGGACGTTTCTTGGCTCCTGTGTTTTCCTCTGCCCTCACTGGCTTTCGGACTGGGACTGGGGCCAGGCTTCCAGCAGGACCTTCTCCCGAGGGATGGGCGGCTGCTGAAGGGGTCTCATTGCCAGGCCTTAGCTGGCCGCACCATGAACCTCCAGGCCCAGCCCAAGGCTCAGAATAAGCGCAAGCGTTGCCCTTTTGGGGACCAGGAGCCAGCTTCCAAGGAACAGCCACCACCCCTGAAGGCTCCACCACAGTCCCTCAGAGCGAAGGAGGAACAGTACGAGGCCCACGAAGCAACAGGCGTTGCCTCCACCACCCAGCCTGTGGAGCTGCCTCCTCCCAACAGCCTGACTCTGCTGAACTCCGTGGTGTACGGATCTGAGCGGACCACGGCAGCCATGTTGTCCCAGCAAGCCCAAGTAAAGTGGCCCAACTCAGTGATGGTTCCAGGGCGGGGCCTGGAGCGTGGAGGAGGCGTAGGCATCAGTGACAGTGGCTGGCAGCAACAGCCTGGCCAGCCTCCACCCCACCCTGCATGGAGCCACCTGTCCCTCTACAGTGGACCCAAAGGGAGCCCTCATCCAGGTGTGGGGGGCTCTCCCTACTATAACCACCCTGAGGCACTGAAGGGGAGCAAACCCGGGGGTCCACAGCTGGATCACTATGGAAATGCGGTGCAGCCCATGGTACCGCAGAAGCTGCCGCTGGAGGCGGGGAGACCCCCAGCACCCTTGAACTCTTTCCATGCAGCCAAGAAGCCCCCAAACCAGACGCTGCCCTTGCAACCCTTCCAACTGGCATTTGGCCACCAGATGAACCGCCAGGTCTTCCGACAGGGCCCGCAGCCCTCCAACCCCAGCGCCTCCTTCCCACCTCAGAAGCAGCCGCAGCAGCAGCAGCCGGCAGCCCTGTCCCAGATGCCACTATTTGAGAACTTTTACCCCATGCACCAGCCACCTTCCCAGCAAGCCCAGGACTTTGGCCTGGCACCGGGTGGGCCGCTGGGACAGACTCACCTGCCTCATCACAGCATGGCCCCCTACCCTTTCCCTCACAACCCGGATATGAACCCGGAGCTGCGCAAGGCCCTCCTGCAGGATTCCGCCCCACAGCCTGTGTTACCTCAACCCCAGGTGGCCTTCCCACGTCGTTCCCGCCGTCTGTCCAAGGAGGGGATTCTGCCTTCCAACGCCCTCGATGGAGCTGGCACCCAACCTGGTCAGGAGCCCACAGGCAATCTGTTCCTTCACCCCTGGCCTCTTCAGCAGCCACCACCAGGCTCCCTGGGGCAGCCCCACCCGGAAGCCCTGGGCTTCCCATTGGAACTAAGGGAGTCACAGCTCCTGGCTGATGGCGAGAGACTAGCACCCAACGGTCGGGAGCGGGAGGCTCCCCCCCATGGGTAACGAGGAGGTCATGAGGGCTGGGGGCCTAGGGGACTGTGGACAGATGATACGAGGTGGGGTGATCCAGAGCACCAGACGGAGGCGCAGGGCTTCCCAGGAGGCCAATTTGCTGACGCTGGCCCAGAAGGCGGTGGAGCTGGCCTCACTGCAGGTGAGAATGAGCGCTGCAGCCGGTATCGGGCAGGCTCTGGGGTGGAGTGGGAAATAAACGATGCTAGGTGTCCCGTCTGTGTCCCTCCCCCCCCCCCCCAGACAGAGCTTCCCCCCATGTAGCCTTGGCTGTCCTGGAACTTGCTCTATAGACCAGGATGGCCTTGAACTCACAAGAAATCCGCCTACCTCCCAAGTGCTGGAAAGACATGTGCCGTCCCTTCCACTGGCCCGCCACCTGGCAATGCTAAGGCTTATAGGGCAATTTTGCAGTTATTTAAAGGAAATTAAAGTTCTTCATTCAGAAAATCCCTACTGGAAGCACCCATACCTGCAGGGATGCTGAGGTTTCTCCATACGGGGGTGGTGGGTCAGAGATTGTTGGCTTCTTTGTGTGGAACTTGAGGGTTGGGAGTAGGGGGTACTGGGAGCCAGTATTTTATGATTCAGGAGTGGTTACCAAGGTGATGCATGTCAAAATCATTAACTGTGATCTAAAACGGGTTGGTTTGTTTGGCTATAAGTCCATTGCAATAAAGTTCAGTTTTTAAAGTCGGAAAGGGAGGAAAACCAAACAGAATTTGAGCGCTTGTGTTACCTTGGGGTTTCAATTTTATTTTATACTTGCTCAAAAGTGACTTCTTATCAAATGCAACAGCAAGGGTAGTCACTTGTCCCAGGTTTCTGTAAAGAAACTGAGCCAACTGGGAATTTGCAGGACCATGTAGTCCAGACAGACGCCTCCCATTTGATCATCATTTACTCTGTCCTTCCTTAGAAGTTGCAGCCACTGTTGCCTTTAGGTCCAGGTTGTCAGTCAGGAGGCTACAGAATTTTAGGGTTTTCACTCCAGTCAGATACCCATGAGGAAATAGCTGCAAAGATCTCCCTTCATCTTGCCACAGCAATATGCCTTGTTACATGTCACACCCTGTATGCTAGGTGCTAAATGCCTGAAGCTATTTGTGGACTGAAATGACCACTTGGAATGGCCTACTTCAGGCCAGGGTGGCACAACCAGGCAGAAAGAGGTTCTGGAGAATATCTGACATGTATAGGAACAGGGGTGGCTCAGGAAAGGGCCAAATTGTCAAAGACCAAAGAGTGACTGGTTGAGTTGCTGGGTTGAATGGGCATGGGAGTCCTAGGTCAGCAAATGGGGACTCGCCTTCTGAACCTCACGGCCTCCCCCCAATCTCCCTCTTCTCCAGGATGCCAATGGCTCTGAGGAGAAGCGGAAAAGTGTGCTGGCCTCAACTGCCAAATGCGGAGTGGAGTTTTCTGAACCCGCCTTAGCTGCCAAGAGAGCTCGGGAGGAGAGTGGAATGGTGCCCCTCATCATCCCGGTGTCTGTCCCTGTGCGGGCTGTGGATCCCGCTGAGGTGGCCCAAGCGGGAAGTGTCGATGAGGACGGGAAGGGTCTGGAACAGTACTCCGCTGAGCACAAGCCATCGGTCATCGTGACCCGCAGGCGGTCACGAGTCCCGGGGACGGATGCGCCAGCTCAGGTATGAGGCTGCTCACCGAAGTCCTCCAGCGCCAGAGCTTCTAGCTTCAAAGACTCTAAGGGAAGCAGTAGGTGCTCCAAGGAACGCAGGGAGATATTGTTGTCTTTGTTTTATGTCTGTTTACCACATGCATGCGATGCCTTAGAATCCAGAAGACCGTGTCAGAGCCCCTGGAACTGTAGTTATGGGAAGTCGGAGCCACCATGTGGGTACTAGGAATGGAACCAGTGCTCTCAACAACTAATCCATCTTTCCACTTGTCAGGGAGATACTGGGTTTTTTTTGTTTTTCGAGACAGGGTTTCTCTGTATTGTTTTGGGGCCTGTCCTGGAACTCGCTCGGTAGACCAGGCTGGTCTCGAACTCACAGAGATCCGCCTGCCTCTGCCTCCCGAAGTGCTGGCATTAAAGGCATGCACCACCAACGCCCGGCCGAGATACTGTTTTTATTTTCCAACTCAAACTTGTACTAAGGTACATAGGGGGTATGAGTTTCATGCTTGAAGTTTGTGGTTACTGGGGAAAATCTAGGTCAGGAAGTTTTGATGGCCCCTGGTAAGGCCCTGAGCTGCCTCCTGGGGTGCAGAAGTGTTCACTTGTTCTGTTCACTTCTGAGCTAAGCACCTGAAATCTCCCACTAACACTGTGGTTGTAGTTTTTCTCTTACCTCTGCCATTGGTTTTGTATGTCTTGGTAGGATGTTCCGGGTGTGTGCACATTTAGACCGGGTGAGTGTGAGAGGCTTCTTTTCATCTAGCATTCCTTTGATGAGTCCTTCCACTTTTATCTTCTCTGTAACCTTCAGGAATATTTCCAAGTAGCATACAATTGCGGTTTGACGTTTTCTAGCCTAACGACTTTTATCTTTTAAGAAGAACACCAATACAATTTTCATTTTTTCTATTTGCTTATTAATAAAAATGGCATGCATGGTCTATGATAGGATGTTTCATATATGTGTGTGTAGTCAATATGATGTTATATGTGTGTGTGTGTATAGTAGATCTGCTAAACCAAGCTAATTAGCATAGTCATTACCTGACACACACACACCCTTTTTTTTGTGGTGAGAACATTTAAGGTCTGGTCTCTTAGCAATATTTCTAAGAGAAATAAATTAATACAGTGAGCAATGAAAGCCATCATGCTGTACAATAATAGGCCTCCTGAATTTCTATATCCTGTTTTTACTGAAATTATGTTTCCTTTGATCATCTTCCCAATCCTCACTGCAGCTCCAGCCCTTGGCAGCAGCCGTTCCTCTGTCTGCACGGAGTGCGGCTCCGCTGATAGAATCTCTGCTTAGTGTAATTACTGATAGACCTGGCTGAACCCCTGTCACCTGCTATTAGCTCTCTGCCTACATCATCCTGCCTTTGCGATGATCTGCTCCCCACCTCCATGCTTTAAATTGACTGGGATCGTCACTCCCATCTCTCCTTTGTTAACAACAGATTAGTTATATACTTAATTACTTTTAGTGGTTATTTTAGTAGGCATCTTACCTGGATCTCTACAAGTGACCCGGCCACAGCTTCTTCTAAGATTTATTTATTTATTACATATACAGTGTTCTGTCTACACGCCAGAAGAGGGCACCAGATTGAATTGCAGATGGTTGTGAGTCACCATGTGGTTGCTGGGAATTGAACTCAGGACCTCTGGAAGAGCAGCCAGTGCTCTTAACCTCTGAGCCATCTCTCCAGCCCCCCGGCCACAGCTTCTTTTGGAACTGTGCAATGAAAGCTAGGTCAGGAGCTCTTTGTACCAGTTCCCAGCACAAAGCTACTCCTAATATTTCTGCTGCTCCTTTTCTTCATTTATTACTTTTATCTATTTTTCTGTAAATGGATGTTTTGCCTGCATGTATGTCTGTATACCATGCATGGGAGTAGTGCCCATGGGAGCCAGAAGAGGGCGTCAGGTCCCTTTGGATTAGAATTGTGAGCCACCATGTGGATGCTGGAAATTGAACCTGGGTCCTCTGGAAGAGCAATCAGTTCTCTTAACTGCTGAGCCATCTCTCCGTACCCCTACTGGGTTTTGTTCTTCTATCATCTTAGCACTGGATATCTTGAAAATGAATAAGTAACTCAGTGCTTGCGTGTTAGAGTGTATATGTGTGCGTATGTGTACAGATGTGTACAGACTGCTTGCTTGTGTATGTGCAGCTGTGATGACCAGGGGGATGTCTCTGAACCTGGGACCTTGGTGCTTCAGCTAGACTGGCTGGCTAGGAGGCCCCAGGGATCTTCCTGTCTTCACCTCCCAAGCCTTGAGAGTACAGATGTTTGTCACCATATCTGGCTTTTTTTTTTTTTTTTTTTTTTTGACTTTTTTCGAGACAGGGTTTCTCTGTGGCTTTGGAGGCTGTCCTGGAACTAGCTCTTGTAGACCAGGCTAGCCTCGAACTCACAGAGATCCTCCTGCCTCTGCCTCCCGAGTGCTGGGATTAAAGGCGTGCGCCACCAACGCCCGGCTCCATATCTGGCTTTTTTAATGTGGGTTCTGGGCATCCAAACTCAGATCTCGTGTTTGAGTGTCAAGTACTTTCCTCGCTGAGCCGTGTCCCTTGGCATCCTATACTTATTTTTTCCTATGAAATCTTCTTTCCCTTCAGTATTACTCAGTTAACATCTCCTTAGACATTATTCTAAAACCTTTTATAACCTCTTTCCACCTTCTAGAGGAATTCATCTTTGTTTTGTTTGTTGTTTTTTGAGCTGGGGTGTCTCTGTGTAACGCCCTGGCTGTCCTGGAATTCCCTCTGTAGATCAGGCTGGCCTCAAACTCACAGAGATCCGCCTGCCTCTATCTCTTGAGTGTTGGGATTAAAGGTGTGCACTGCTACCGCCCAGCTCAAGAATTCATCTTTATATGCTATTTTATTTGCCAGATCTAAGTCAGTGCATGCTTGCTTGAGTGCGTGTGTCAAGGTCCCACCAATGCTCTTCAAGAGGGCGCTCATCTTGACTCCTGGTGGCTAGCAAATGGCCCTGGCAATCCCGAGTCACTTTTACCGAATCAGAAACAGATCGAATGGGGTAAACTTTGTTCCCGCTAGGGACAAGCCTGTTTCCGCTCAGTCTTTTTTCTGGTCGCTCTTGAAGGCGTTGAGACTCTTAGTCCTTAGCTCCTCCTCCCGCAGGTGCTTCTTGCAGTAATAGGATTCACCTACAGACTTAAGGCTGCTCAGATGTGGGGTTCATCTCTATGACCCCACGCCCACCCCGGGTCTTTGGGTCTGTAACTCTTTGTCAAGCTGTTTGTTCTGAATCTTTGGGTATGTCTTTTCTATCCAGTTCAGATTTCCCACTTATTTGGTTAGAGAGCTAGCCTGCTTGCCTCTTCTCCATAATAGGAAAAAGATTATTGTGAGGTAATTCATTCAAGCTTATCAGCTCTCTGAGGTCTTGCTCTGTGGTTGGGGGAAAGTTTGTGTTAGAGACCTGGCAGCTTGTCTTGAGAGTAGGTGAGGAGGAGCCCGGGCAACTACCTAGTCAGCACCTCCATTTCATCTGTGAGGAAACAGGACCAGAAAAGTCCAGAGCTATTAGTCTGCTTTTAATCCCTATAACCAAACGCCCGAGGCAGGCTAACATGATGAAGAGTTTTAGTTTGGCTTGTTGTTCTAGGGGTACAAAGTCCAGGCGCCTTTTCTGGTGATAATCACTTGCAGGCAGAGTTTCAAGATAATTGCAGAGCCCCACAGAGAAACAGATAGGGAACACATGTGTCTGCCTCTGTCTGTGGTCTCTGTATTCCTCTGAGGCCACCCAGGATTCAGCAATGGTGGCTCCCCTGTAATGACCTTATCTAAACCTAATCAATCACCTCCTTGCCTCCAAACACCATCTGGACTTCAATTTCCACCTTCTCAATACTGTTGATATGAGGCTTTGAGGCCTGCTTGGGGTGCACTGGTGACTTGGTGCGGTGCAGTGGTAGGGCACTGGCCTGGCCTGGGCAGGTCCTAGGCTCCACCTCCATCGTCAGTGCTGGAGACAGCTTGTCTTGAGAGTGTGGGAAGGAGCCTGCAGACCTGCAAACCTGAGCACTGACATCAGCTAGCAGCCGAGCTAGCCCTGGACTGCATCATGAGTTTCTGCCTGTGAGGGTTTCTGCTACACTAGAGGGCTCCACGATTACTGTGAGATACTGTAGGATAGTTAGCCCAGGGCTGTCTGCTCTCTGGGGTCTCATTCTGTGGCAGGCTGTGGGGGGACGGGGCGCTTATATTTTGTTATTTGCTTATTTTATGTTTCATTGTACTATTGACATTTGCAATCATGCATAAAAACAGAGAAGGGTCTAGTGAATGAATGTTTAATCTTTACCCAGTTTTCACAGCCCTATCAAATACAGTCCTGGCACTCACTCAGGCTGGCCTTGAACTCACGGAGATCCGCATGTCTCTGCCTCTCTCAAGTGCTGAGATTAAAAGTGTGCACCACCACCACCCAGCTAAATACAGCCTGTTTTATTTCAACTGTACTCTCACTACCCTGAGTTATTTTGAGGCACATTTCACCCACAAATCCTTTTGGGTTGCATCTGAATACATGTGTATAGTATGTTTGTTTGCCTTCCTTCCTTCCTTCCTTCCTTCCTTCCTTCCTTCCTTCCTTCCTTCCTTCCTTCCTTCCTTCCTTTCTTCCTTCCTTCCTTCCCTATCTCCCTCCCTCCTTTTTCATTTTAAAATAGTTTCAATAGCATTACCACACCTTAAAAGTCAAAAACACTCAAACAGTTTAAATCTCCTCCCTACGAATAGTTGGAGCTGGTTTTGCATGGGGTTGCTAGCACATTGGGAGGCATTTAGTTCTTGTTCTACTTAGTTTCTGCTGCTGTGACAAACACCTTGACCAAAGCAACTTGAGGAGGAAAGAATTTATTTCATCTTATTGTTTACAGTTGGACTTGAAGGGAGAGCAGGAGCCTGGAGGCAGGAGCTGACGCAGAGGCATGGAGGCTGCTGCTTCCTGGCTTGCTCGGTCTGCCTTTTTGTTTGTTTTCAGAGACTGCCCGGGAGCTCACTCCAGGCTGGCCTTGAACTCTCAGAGATCCACCTGCCTCTGCCTCCCAAGTGCTGGGATTAAAGGTGTGTGCCACCACCGCCTGGTTCAGCCTGCCTTCCTAAAGAACACTGGAGCACCCCCAGGGTGGATTGCCCAGTGGGCTAGTCCCTCACACATTAGTTAGAAGATGCCCCACAGACTTGTCAGGCAGTTCCTCAGCTGAGATCCCCTTTTCCTAGATGTTTGGTTTGTGTTGGGTTGAAAGCCAGCATAGCTCTACTGAAGTTTTTTTTCTGTGTAGTCCTGTTCCCTAAAGGCAGAGGGATGAATGTTCTCAGTTCATCCTAATTAGTACAAGGGAAGCAAGGGCACACAGGAACGAGGAGAGGTCATGCTAGGGCCTCAGATGCAGACTGGATCCCTGGAGCAGGGATAGCCTCAGTCGCCATGACCGACTTGGTTTACTGTGCCAGAGATGCTTTAGGGGCTGCTCACTCCTGAAAGCTGTTTGCTTCCCTTTTGAGAGTTTAGGCCCTGCTTTCTATTCTGTGCAGACGCCCATAAGGCATACCATAGAGACGAAGTGTGGGCTAGGGAGGCCAGCCTCTGACATCATGGGTGGGCTAGCCTCTGGCAGTAGCAGATCTAATACTCACGAGTTAATGTTCTGCAGGAGCAGAGACACCTGTTCCCTTCTGTGGGCTCACTCCCTGCTCAGGTTCTGGCACACAAAGCAGGCTTCTATCCCATGCAGAGTCTGGCCTCTTAATAGTAGTAGCAGGAATGTTACTACAACCACGGGATTTCCATACATTAGTTCATATTACTATACAGGAGGCTGAGCCATCCTCATTCTGTTTCCCTCTCCAGGCTGAGGCTCTGAATGTTAAGTTGGAGGCTGTACTCAGTGGTAGGGTGCATGCCTAGCACACAAGGCCCTGGATTCGGCCTACACAGAAGCAAATAGATTTATTAATTTTCCCAAACTAGCTTATGTTAATCTTCATTGCTGCCAGATCAGGTAGGCATTTCCTATTCTATTTCCACATTAAAAGTGAAGATGGGCCGGACAGTGGTGGTGCACGCCTTTAATCCCAGCACTCGGGAAGCATAGGCAGGTGGAGCTCTATGAGTTCAAGGCCAGCCTGGTTTACAAGAGCTAGTTCTAGGACAGCCTCCAAAGCCACAGAGAAACCCTGTCTCGGAAAAACCAAAAAACAAACAAACAAATAAGTTAAAAAACAAAAATGAAAATGGAGGTTGGAAGAATGGCTCAGTGGTTAGGAGCGCTTGCTGCTCTTCCACAGATGAGTTTGGTTTCAGGCACTACTGAGCCAACCCATGACCACCTCATATGAGCTCCTTGGACGGACGGACACACACACACACACACACACACACACACACACACACACACACACACACACACACACGCGCGCGCGGCAGACACACTGACATATATGTATACACAAGTAAAAACAAATTCAGTCTATTTTTATAAAAACGTGAAGATGTACACGGAATCTGTTGTTTAAATAACCAGCAAAGGTGATAGATCTAAGCGTCTGGGCCCTTTCCCAACAGCACGTTCCCTGTTGGATACATTACAGCATTGATTGGGAGCTATGGCCCGGAACCCAAATTTAGAATTAAGAATAATTTTTAGATTTTGACAAGATTCCTTCCTTTTTAAAAAAATTTTTATTTTTTAAACAAAATGTAGACCAGGTGGCTCCTGGCCTTTAGGTGGCATTTGCTCACCTGGATCTGCCACAGGAGACAACAGGCTGGATTTGGGGGCCTTCTCGTCTTTGAGGCTGTCTTGGTGGGTGCGTCGGGCAGAGAGTTTCAGAGATAACATTGGCAGGCTCCAGTCAAGACCGGAGGTTTCTGGGGACACACGAAAAACTGAGTCTCTCTGTTCTGTTTGCACCTCCAGGCTGAAGACCCAAATGCCAAGATGGAGGGGGAGCCTTCCATTCGGAAACCAAAGCAGCGGCCCCGGCCCGAGCCCCTTATCATCCCCACCAAGGCGGGCACTTTCATTGCCCCTCCTGTCTACTCCAACATCACCCCCTACCAGAGCCATCTGCGCTCTCCTGTCCGCTTAGCTGACCACCCTTCTGAGAGGAGCTTTGAGCTGCCCCCCTACACACCGCCCCCCATTCTCAGCCCCGTTCGGGAAGGCTCCGGCCTCTACTTCAATGCCATCGTATCAACCAGCAGCATCCCAGCCCCTCCTCCTATCACGCCAAAGAGTGCCCATCGTACCCTGCTCCGTTCTAGTGAGTGATCTTGTGGCTGAGGTGGTGGGGGAATGTACAGGGAGAGATAGTGCAGTGTAGGGGCTGGAGGTGGGAGGCGGGATCTCTTCTGTGTGTCCCCCTCCCAGGGTGTGGTAGGGCATGGTCCTCCCGCTTGGATTCTCATCCCTGTCCCACTGTTTATTATCATGTCCCTTGTGCAAGTCCAACTGCCCAGACCTAACTGTGTTCCTTCATTATTCAGCAGGGGTTAGATTAGTCAGACTTGGCTGATGGTGGATTTGCTGATATTCAGCTATTAGATTCACACACAGCAGTTTCCTATGGTTAACCTAATAGGTACCTCCCCTGGTTGTGGTAGGGATCAGATCTGTTAGCACTGTTTATATTAAGTGACTGACCTGGTCTCCTGGGCCTGTCTAGCAGTCATTTTGGACAAAAGCAGGCCTGGGTGTTATGAGACCTAAAAATTAAAAATGTCCATTTCACAAAGCTGTTCTTTTCCCTTGGAAAATGGAATCACCTGATCGTTTACAGTGGCATCACACGGGTGCATTCTTCACCCAGTTAACCTCTGACCCCAGAGCTCACCCATGGTGTGGTTCTCTGGTGCCTCCTGGTGTCTGTGGATGGAAATTGCCCTGTGCTGGCAGGCTTAGACTTTTTTCCTCAGGAAGTTTCTCTCCCTGGCTCGGTTTGTGCTGGAAATCACTGAAGAGAGCAGACTGTCAGCCAAGATGTCAGTCTGCCCAACAAGTGTTTGCTGCTCCCTGGGTGTAAACTCTTGAATGGATCCTGTGCAGGCTGCAAGACTATATGGGATGCTGGAATCGAGTCTAAAGGAAGTGCAGGGAGGATCATTAGGGAACTGACAAGTCTGCGAGACAGAAAGTCAGGCTCCCAGCAGTGTGGGGCCGGCACAAAACTTGAGCCTGCAGAAGCCTGGCTAGATAAGGAAAGAATTTGGGAAGTGGTGGAGACCGAGCTAAGCTTGAACTCCAGAGTGGGAGGGGCAGGCAGGGCGCTGCAGGCGTGGAGTGGGGGTGAGCAGAGGGAACGAGGGGGTGAGGTTAGTGGGCCTCGAGGGTCGAGAGTCTGGGCCGAGGGAGGCACAGACACATGGGGAACTGCCCTGAGCAGCTGAGGGTTTCAGGTTTTGTCTGACGCTGCAGAGAAACACAACAGAGGTCTTGTTTTGAGTAAGGGTGTGCCTTGATCTAGTCTGACCTTAAGATTAACTTGGATGAGAGTGAGGCAAAAAAAAGTCAGAGAGGAAATGAGAAGATAATTTTAAGAGACCCCCTTCCCATCTCCCTGGTGTGCCTCCAGTTTCAGCCTCTTTGCTAGAATGAAAGTAAAACATAGTTTTATACTGAAGCTTGTGGAGTGGAGGCTCCTAGAAGCAGGATCTGGGCTCAGGTGGTCGTGCTAACAATATAGCTAATGGTCTTGGAGTGCCAGGTTCTTTTTTTTTTTTTTTTCCTTTTTTTTCTATTTTTGGTTTTACAAGACAGGGTTTCTCTGTATTGTTTTGGAGGCTGTCGGCCCAGCCCGGCCTCGAACTCACAGAGATCCGCCTCTCGAACTCACAGAGATCCGCCTGCCTCTGCCTCCCTAGTGCTGGGATTAAAGGCGTGCACCACCACCGCCCGGTCAGAGTGCCAGGTTCTTACTTAATTCAGAATTCTCATTACCCCCAGGAGACAGAAAGAAATAGCCCCTTTCTGCAGATGTGAAAACTGAGGTGCCCACATATTTAATAAAGTGCCCAAGTTGCACAGTCATCAGGTTGCAGAGCAAGGACAGGGTGCCTCTGTTCCAAGTGTACTCAGTGAGTCACCACTGTGACTCTTAGGCATGCAGGACGGCCACCTAGGACGGGAGTGCTTTCCTGAAGGGAGGAAGGGGTCACTAACCAATATGCTCTTTGTCCGTAGATAGTTCTGAAGTCACCCCGCCCGTGCTCTCTGTGATGGGGGAGGCCACCCCTGTGAGCATCGAACCGTAAGTGCAGTCTGCCCCAGGCCCATGGCGTGTGGGTTCCAGGTGGGCCTAATGCATTGCAGATTAGCTTTGGAGCAAGAGGGGGCTTCTGTGAGGCCTGCACACAGACAGGCAGTCTCTTTGGGCTTCTGTCGTCTGTCCCAGGCTCTACTGTCTCTCCTGCTTGTGAATGGAAGCTGTAGGGAGAAGAAAGGGAAGGTCCAGGTTGGCTTGAATTTATTAGCAGGGAGAGCTGGGTGGGGGTGGGGCTTCCAAGAGCCTCTCCTTATCAGTCAGATGTGGAGTAGCTTTTCCACCCTTTAGCCTCTGGGCCTTGCTTTTCTGATCACACCAGATGCCAGATTCACTACACCCAGCTCTGGCCTTGCTGCCTGCATTCAGCGCCTTCCAGCTGTACTTTTTCCAACACATCCGAGGGAGAAAGTCAGGTTCCCCGTCTCCACAAGATGAGGCGTCACTCCTTGCTTTTCTGCCCCTACAGACGGATCAACGTTGGTACCCGGTTCCAGGCCGAAATTCCTATGATGAGAGACCGAGCTCTGGCAGCTGCAGACCCCCATAAGGCTGACTTGGTGTGGCAGCCATGGGAGCATCTTGAGAGCAGCTGGGAGAAACAGAGGCAAGGTAGAGACCTCCAGGGAGCAGGCCATGGCAGGCTGGTGGGCAGATGGGCGGGCTGGGTTCTGCAAGGCCCAGCATTGAACATGATTTCCTGTTGTCCTTCCATCTCCTGGGAATCCAGTGGATGACCTGCTGACAGCTGCCTGCTCAAGCATTTTCCCTGGTGCTGGCACCAACCAGGAATTGGCCCTGCACTATCTCCATGAGTCTAGGGGGGACATCCTGGTAAGAAAGCCTCATAAATTTGGGGGGAGGGTCCCTTAGGAAAGCTGGTTCCGGTCCCTCCCTCTCTGTTGCCAGGACCAGGCCTGGGGTGTAAAATTTTATTGATTTACATTTGCTCTTCTGCAAATGTTCTAATGGGGGGAAGGGCGTGTTTCTTTTTCCTCTCACGATCATCAACCTTGTCTTAGCCTCCCTGGTACTAGGGTGCTTTGGCATGGTGATTTGAGGAAGTTACGAGGGGTCTGACCAAGGAAGAGGATGTTGGGGTTTGGCCTAAACCCTAGCTGGGTATGCAAGGTCCTACTGTTGGTCTAACTCTGGTCCTAGGGAGGTCCGTTCTCCCACTCTCGATTGTCACGGAGGGCGCGCTGTGTCCACGCTACTTGCTTTGGGGGTTGAGCATTCCTGCAGTAGCCTCCCGGCCCGACTCCTCAGCAGCCCCACTTCCTGTGATTTTTGCCATCCCCCTGTATGTCCTGTCTCATAGAACTATGCCGGGCAGGAGTAACTGCTTGCTCTACCTGGAGGCCTGCACAGGCCCTTTGCATGCTGCCCAGGCCAAGGATACTCCGCCCTTCACTGCGACTGTTCAGCTTCCTGACAGCCCTTTCTTCTCCTCCAGGAAGCGCTGAGTAAGCTGCTGCTGAAGAAGCCTGTGAGGCCTCACAATCACCCACTGGCAACTTATCACTACACAGGTGGGCCTGACTGACAGGTGGGCCTATCTGACAGACAGGTGGGCCCGACTGGGGTGGCCATGTGGTCCAGAGCCTCAGGGGTCTCCAGCACCGACGGGACTCTGCTCAGTGCTGAGTCACAGCCCTGAATGGGAGTGGGGACAGGGAGAGCCAGCCGAAAGTCAGAGCAAGGAAACTAATATCAAGGCCAGGTTGGGACTCCCCATGCCCTTAGAGGGGAAGCATGAAGTGGGTAGGCAATCCATGCAAAAAAAAAAAAAAAAGCCCAAGTCTTGGGTGCAGAGGTCGGAGACCTAGGGAGAGCAGTCAACTGATTTCAGGTACCCGGAAGTTTTAAACCTTGGAGTGCTTGTCTTAGTTTAGACGCTGTACTATACGGGGGACACTGGTACAATCCTGTAATCCCAGTAGCTACCGTTGCTGAGCCTCTATTAGGTCAATGTTTGTCTGTACCACACAGAGTCTCAAAAGGTTGTTCCCACCTTATAGCATCTAGTCTTTCTTAGACTTAGGAAGACAAGCTCTAGTGTCCATCCCGTTTGACAAGCAAGGGGAGTGAGGCTTCAGGAAGCTGGTAGGGAGTGACCCAAGCAGATGTGGGTGGCCTCACCTTCAGTGGCTCAGAGGCATGCGCACAGTGCAGGTGCTCACATTCCTGCCCGGATCACAAAACCTGGTACCCTCTTTACTCTTTAGGCTCTGATCAGTGGAAGATAGCTGAGAGGAAGCTGTTCAACCAGGGCATCGCCATCTATAAGAAGGATTTCTTCCTGGTGCAGAAGCTGGTGAGCAGGGGCAAGCACGGGGTCACCCACCAAGTGGCCAGATGGCAGGATGCTTGCCTAGTGTGTCCGAGTTCCAGCCATCACTTCGGTTAGATCCCTGCTATCAGGTAGCTCCAGAGACAGCTTTGTAAACCGCAGCTTGCACAGAGGATCCTCCGCTGACCTCTGAGCTCTCCAGGCAGGACTTTAAGCCTAGATGTGGGCAAACCCGGGGCGGGGCGGGGCGGGGCGGGGTGGGATGGGGTGGGGCAGGAAAACCTGTGGGAATGTATTGCTCAAACCAAATCCAGTTGGTCAGATAGATCTATGAAATGGGAGGACAGATGTCAGTCTGAGAGGACCGCAGGGATGATCTCATGGTTGTAGCATCACACCACGCACTCTTCATGCATGAAAAAGCAGAAATTAGGAAGGAGAGTGCTTAGGGTGCATAGCCCTTTGGTGGCAGTTAGTAGCAAGGCTAGGAAGGCCTTCTGCTTCCTCTCTGGGTTTTCCCTGAATCTTCCCCGACATGACGTTTCTCTTCCTTACTTGGCTACACTCCCTGGAGAGGAGTGAAACCATTCCCCAGATTGATGAAGGGAGTTTTACACTGTTGTACTGGAGCCGGCTTTGAATGTGGAAAGATGCCCATTTACTAAATGGAGAAGGAAGAGTAACTCCACAAACACCCATTAAAAATGCCTTGCTGGGAACTGGAGAGATGGCTCAGAGGTTAAGAGTACTGGCTGGTCTTCCAGAGTACCTGGGTTCAATTCCCAGCACCCACAGTACAGCTCACAACTGTCTGCAGTTCCTGTTCCAGGGGACCTGACACCCACACACAGACACACATACAGGCACAATAAATGCGTATAAAATAAAATTTTAAAAAAATGCCTTGTTCAGGCGGATCTCTGTGAGTTCGAGGCCAGCCTGGTCTACAGAGCGAGTTCCAGGACAGCCTCCAAAGCCACAAAGAAACCCTGTCTCGAAAAACCAAAAAAAAAAAAAAAAAAAAAAAATGCCTTGTTGAAGGCTTGGCGGTGGTGGCGCACGCCTTTAATCCCAGCACTTGGGAGGCAGAGGCAGGCGGATCTCTGTGAGTCCGAGGCCGGGCTGGACCGACAGCCTCCAAAACAATACAGAGAAACCCTGTCTTGTAAAAAAAAAAAAGCCTTGTTGAAATTTACTGGTTTTACCATTTGTCCTGGTTTCTTCTTTCTCTGTCTGCATCTAAACACCCACCATGAAATACACACATCTCTCTATTCATTCTCTCTGTTTCAGCTAATCATTGAAAGTAAGCTATTGTTGGGCCTGGGGATGTCTAGGCCTATAATCACAGCTATTTGGGAAAGTGTGGCAGGAGGATTAGGCTACTGAAGTGAGTTCAAGACCAGCCAGCCTAGTTACCTTAATGAGACCTTGTATCAAAATTCAAAAAAAGGGAGGGGGGATTGGGTTGGGAGTACTATTTAATGGTAGCGCATTTGCCTGGCTTGTTCAATCCCCGGTACAGGGACATGGGGTTTTTTCATATAAAACTGCCCTAAGCTTTGGCAAGCAATTTAAACTGCATATTGAGATGCCCATGGGGATGAGCTAGCTGTCCGAGCATCACTTCACTTACCGTTTACGCGTCAGAAAGCAGAAATTGGGGTGATGAGCCCCATTTTACCTGAGGACTACAGGAGGAGCCATGTGAACTTCTGAGAAGCTGGGGGATAAGAAGCCTCAGTCATTCATACCACAGGTGCAGATGCTGACCCAACCAAGGCTCCTGAGCCCCTGCAGTCTTGCTGGCCCAGTGCAGCTTCTCATGGCACAGCCCTCTGACATCTCCCCAGAAATTTCGCTATTGTCCTTCAGGTGTTACTCACCGAAGTGGTGCAGAAGCCTCCATTAATTACACTGGTTGCAGAGCGGGCATTGAGAAATGGTTTTTTTGTTAGTTTTTTTTTTTAAAGATTTATTTATTTATTATGAATACAACATCCTGCCTCCGTGTATGTCTGCACATACCAGAAGAGGGCGCCAGATCTCATTACAGATGGTTGTAAGCCACCATGTGGTTGCTGGGAATTGAACTCAGGACCTCTGGAAATAGCAGTCAGTGCTCTTAACCTCTGAGCCATCTCTCCAGCCCTTGTTAGTTTTTTTTGAAACAGGGTTTTTCTTTGTAGCTTTGGAGCCTGTCCTGGAGCCTGCTCTGTAGACCAGGCTGGCCTTGAACTCACAGGCATCCACCTGCCTTTGCCTCCCCCCCAGGACTGGGATTAAAGGGTGCATCACCACAGCCCAGCACTGGGTTTAGTTTTGTGCCTAAGGCTAAGGGGAGCGTTCAGAGATGAGAAAGTGAGCCACATCAGCTCCCTCTGACTCAGTTCTGGCTTTAATTCAGATCCAGACCAAGACTGTGGCCCAGTGTGTGGAGTTCTACTACACTTACAAGAAGCAGGTGAAAATTGGCCGCAATGGGACGCTCACTTTTGGTGACGTGGATACACGGGATGAGAAGTCAGCCCAGGAGGACGTTGAAGTGGACGTGAAGGTGAGTCCTTTCCCGGCCTCTGCTGCCTGGCACCGGAAGCTCGAGGCCAGACTGACTCTCCTGGAGTTTACAGATGGCAGGCAGAGGGAAACCCGGTCCCTGACAGTCCCCCCAGGAGCTGGCAGCCCAGGCCCTTAACCTTTGAGTTCCCCCCTAGCAGCTGCTGGGTCCTGGTGATGGGCTCTGACGAGGAATACTGGAGAGTTGCAGCACCAGTGTCACCTTCCTGTCTCCTCAGAGCAAACCGCTGACGTCACTTCTGAGCTCTGGCCCTTCCTGCGCCATGACTCTGCTGCCTGTGCCCTAACATAAGCCACTGCCACTAACTCTGTCGTGCACCATGCTACTGTCGTTATTCATTTTTTGAGTCGACTCTTTTTTTCTCAAAAGGGAAGCTTTATATTGCAATCATAAATAGATAACCAGTATTGTTTCCTATAAATAGAAGGTGCCAGGAAAGGCAAGTACACAGAAAACCAAACACCGTTACTAAACGCCAGCTCCACGCTGTAATTGCCTGCCAGGACTCTGAGGCACAGGGCCGACTTGTCTTTGACACAGATCACCAGGTCTGGGGACATAGAAGAGGCACATTAACACTAACCTGGACCTCGTCCTTGAAAGATGCTGGGATTTCATGCTGTGCAGTGTATCGCCTTGACATTGTCTCTTGAGTTACAAGGCCATACTTGGTGGCATGCTACTTTGAGACCAGGGAGTAATTTGGTCCCCATATTGCAAATGGGGAGTGGAGATACAGAAAATGTCACATAGTTAAAAGGGAGCTCAGAGCTCCTGCCTGGCACACTCTGAGGTCACCCTGCCCAAAGGGTGCCCAGAAGATTCCAGGCATCTCCCCAGGAGACCAGGTGGCTTGTGGGTCCTGGCATGCTCCCCCCCCAACCCTGGCTTTGTCTCACCCCGAGAGCACCCAGGGTCAAGACTGCCATGGGAGGGCTGTGACTTATGACGGAGTCCTAGTATAGGAGGCTCCCCTGGCCCAGGGTAGGGTGGCAGGACCAGCAGGTGCTGTGACACCTTGGCTGGATTCAGAGTCTGCTCTCTGGAATGACTGAGCTCATGCTTGTCCCCCATAGACTTCTCAGAAGTTCCCAAGGGTGCCTCCTCCCAGAAGAGAGTCCCCAAGTGAAGAGAGGCTGGAGCCTAAGAGAGAAGTGAAGGAGCCCAGGAAGGAGGGGGAGGAGCTGCCGGAAACCCAGGAGAAGGGAGAGCAGGAAGAGGGGCGAGAGCGCAGCCGGAGGGCCGCTGCTGTCAAAGCTACGCAGACACTACAGGCCAATGAGGCGGTAAGTCACCTCCATGGTTCACTCTCCCAGCTCAGGCCCGGAAGGCAGAGCTAGGCCTGGGGGTGTGGGTGGGGTTACAGAGCAAGACCATCGTGATTCTTGTGGTTATAACTCAGGAAGTGGACCAAGGGCTTTATGCTCTCAGCTTACTTGGGCCTCAACCCTGTGTGGTAAGGGTTATTATGGATCTCATTTTACAGATGAGGAAACTGAGATTGGAGGGAATGTAGCTTGTTTGCAATTTATACATACATACATACATACATACATACATACATACATACATACATATGCACTCGTGTGTATGTGGGTGTGGGTGGGTGTGTCTGTGTCTGAACAGTCAGAAGGAAAAGGCCTTGTGAAAACCCATTATATGTATGCAACATGGAGGAAGCATTCATAGGCTGTAGTTCAGTCATGGCTGCCCCTAACGCATTCGCTTGACATGATGTCTGAAGTAGAGCTGAGACTGTGAGAATACTGATATTGGTCCTTTTTGCTCTCTGCTGAGTGTTTCGTGTCCATTGTACCGCTAATTCCTCATAATAACCACCCAAATGCTAACTCCCACTCAGCAGATGGGGAATCGGGTCCAGAGATGCCATTTGACTTGCCTGAAGTCACACCGCAGGCCTTTCTTTGTGGAGTGCTCTGTCCCCTTCACCAGCTAAGCAAGGCATCTCACTGTGGTTCCCATCAGGAGAGCTCTCCCAGGAAGGCAGGAGATGGAGTGCGCGGGAGATGGAGTGCGTGGGAGATAGATGGAATGCTGGGAGATGGAGTGCTCGGGAGATGATGGAGTGCACGGGAGATGATGGGGTGCGTGGGAGATGATGGAGTGCGTTTCCACACTTACGCCTGCCGAGCACCTGTCAGCCAAACACAGCTGCTTGCTTCCTCTCGGCTTGCTGACCCCGTCGGAGGCTGTGCGGTGTCCGCACTGTCTAGTTCTGTCTCTGAACACTTGGAGGGTGACTCTGGCGTATTTATCACTTCTGATGGCCATCTGGGGATCCTGGCCATAGCAGTGCCCTCCGCGGGCCCTCCTCTCTCATGACACCCTTTCTTTTTCCTAGCAGTGCTTCCTCAGCAGCTGACATCATATCTTTTCCTTTCACTACACTAGGAACTTTCTGGAGACAGGGCTCCTGAGGACCTGTCTCCCTAGACCTGACACATCATGGGAACACGTTTCTTTCTGGCATGAAGAAATGTCGGAAAACATGGACACAGAGCCAGTAGTATTCAGGCCTATAGCTGCCAAGGTGTGGCACAGAATTCCTGGGCCAGCCTCTTGGTGACTGAGCTAGAGGCAGCCGGGGGTCCTGTCACTGGAAGGGGGCTACTAGGTGACTATTTGGCAGGAATGTGTGAGTGTTTAGGACCCTCTGTTCTTGGGGTGCCAGAATGCACACAGAGTTCACACTTGCCTCTAAAGCACACTCTTGTTGTTGATTGTCTCCAGGCCAATGATGTCCTCATTCTCCGGAGCCACGAACCCAATGCCCCGGGGCCTGCGGGTGCTCAGACCTCAGAGAAGCCAAGGGAGGGGCCGGGGAAGTCACGAAGGGCACTGCCTTTCACAGAGAAGAAGAAGAAGCCGGAGGCATCTAGTAAAACCCAAAACCAGGAGAACACTTTCCCTTGTAAAAAATGCGGCAGGTAAGATATGTCCCTGCCTTGTCCCCACAGGGACCTTTTCCAGTGTTGGGGTGAGGACCTGGATAGGGCGCCGTGGATCTGTTTTTTTCATTGGCTCAGTGGGTTTCCAGGGTAATGACGTCACGGGCAGGCATGGTTTGAAGGGGGGGGCACCATTCCAAGTGGGACGGGTGAAGGTGGGGGCTAGGTAGACAGGTTGGAGCTAGAGGGAGTTAAGTTGAGTGAAGGGTGCCACACCCCAACCCCGGCCTGCTCTCACCTGAGCCCCTCCTGCCCACTGCAGGGTGTTTTACAAGGTGAAGAGCCGCAGCGCTCACATGAAGAGTCATGCGGAGCAGGAGAAGAAGGCGGCGGCTCTGAGGCTGAAGGAGAAGGAGGCTGCAGCTGCAGCAGCGGTGCACCAGCAGGCCTTGAGGGAAGAGAGCGGCGAGGGCGAGAAGGGCTGAGACCCCGCTGGACCTCTCACTGGCCTCGCCCCGCACCCTGCACCCGGGAACCTCTAGAGGGAGCCAGGAGAGGGTCACGTGGACTTTGCTCTGCAAAACAAATCCGATAATGAAAAATAAACAGGCTTTTTTATTTACAAAGGCCGAGGACAGTGTTAAGGGCTGCAGGATCCAGGTCTCTCAGTATCTGGTCGAGTTGTTCTGCTCTCCCGGAGCCCGAGAGGCCAGGCCCCTTGGAAGGGGGAGGGCTCTGCAGCTGCCTCTGGGTCTCTGTGGTTGCCAGGCTTTTCGAGTCTCTGCCTCTTTCCTGCCTGGACCGTAGTAAGCCACCATGGAAAGCCAAGCACAAGCTCACCCCGTGGCAGATTATTCCTCCTCCCCCAGAGGACCTGGAAGGCTGTGCAAACCTTGCCCCAACCCCCAAACAAAAGGACTCCTCAGAGAACGGCGGCCTTAGCACCTCTGTTGTTCCCGTACAACTGCAGCCATGCCGGGCTGCTCCGGTGGTCAGGCTTCAGGTCACCACCTCCCAGGAGTGTCGGAGGGTAGTTTCAACCTCTTTGCTGCTTGCTATCAGACCGTCTGGGGCTGGAACAGTTAGTTTTCTCAGACATCTGGGGAAGGGACCGCTCGCTGTTCATGTCCCTGCTCTCAGCCTGCTGCATGGAAGGGAACTGTGCAGAGGATGCAGAACCAGGCCAGGGGGTTTTGACAAGCCCGATGACTCTTCCTGCTGCCTACCATTTTATCCCTTTGGGTCCTAGAGGCGGCTGAGGGAGCCTCAGGCGGTCCCTGCTCTTGGTAGCTGCCACCTAGCCCAATGCACCCCACTAGGTGTCGATACAGCCTCTCCCTCCACCCACCCCCTGTCCTGCATGCTGGAGATTTCTGGATCCTTCCCTGGGAGGGGATATCCCCTAACTAGACTAGCCAGGAGCCTTCATTCCTTGACTTGTGTCATTTGGGAACTATTTATTTATTCTTAATATTTAATTTTTAACATCCTCAGGGACCAGGGGCCTCTTGCTTTCCAGAGGTCCAAGTGCATTTATCCCAAAATAAGTCACCTTCTTGGCATCCCCACCCCCATTCCAAGGCCCTAGTGTCCCTTACCTTGTTCTCTTACTGGTAGGAATGGTAATAGTACTGAACCGGCTGGGAAGGTGGGGAGTGTCATTAAAGTCACAGGAAACTGGAAGATGTGGGTGAGGTCAAAGGCCGTTCCTGGCCTGCCCTTTCTGTACTTTCAAAATGCTTGAGGGAGTTGGCGGGAGGCCAGAATCCTAGTTTTGTTTATCAGCCTGGACTCTGGCTTGAAGAAACCATATTTGGCATGAAATTCCTGAAGGGCCAGAATGTTCTGGAGATCTGTTCACTTGCCAGTTCCATAGGGGGCCTAAGTATTTTTCTGATATTATTACTCAGCTTTAGCTGTGCAGAAAAATGTCTGCGTGGATGTGTCTGAGTGGTCAACATGTTAAGAGCTAAAAAGGATTCTTTCACTATTCCCTAGGAGATGGCACGCAGCCCTGTTGGAAACTGGAAATAGACGTGGTGTTTCGTTTTTAAGCTATGCACTATTGGTAGTTTTTACATTCATTTATGCATTAGTATGGTTCTATGGGAGCTGTATATGAAAAAAGCAAAAATGCCCCCCTAGATGCCTGGATGGTTACCTAAGCATTCAGCGTCACCATTAGTTTTTTCCATAGGCTTCTACAAACTCAAAGCCTCGAGATTTCAAAAATCTGGTACCCTCTGGAAGCAAGAGGACAACAAATTTAGGCTTTCTCCTGAATCACTTGTATAATGAGTGCCTTCACAGCTTAGCCCCAAAGTGCTACTTATGTTTCCCAAGGTTTTTTTTCTATTTAAACCGTATTTGGCTCAGGCCCTTTGGATATGTGGTATCCGACATCTTCAGCCACACGAGACTCTTCTGCCCAGCGGTACCAACCAGTCCTTAGAAATCTTAATAATAAAAAAGCAATTCTACCCTTCTAAGTTCACAGAGACTAGACCAGTTGAATATAGCCAGAAAAAATGAAGATGCTACCCTTCGGTGGTGATCTCATGAGACAGTTTTCGAAGAGTCCATGCTCTGGGGAGCAGCGTGCAAACTGCGCTGTTTGTAGGGCAGGTCCATTGTGGCGCGTAGCCGCAGAGGCTGGCACGGGCACATCCTTACTGGTGCTTTCTCACACGAACACACTGGGCTTGGTTTTTGTTGTTTTATTATTACTGCTCAGAGCTTTTGCTTAAAGAAAAGGTAACCACTTCAGCTTGATATTAGCCTTCCTAGACCACCTCACCTGCCTGTCTCCCAGCCTCCACCGGCACCCAGCGAAGGGCATGACATGACACAGTGCCTGTGTTCTGGCCACTTCGGGGTCTCTTTCCCATCTAAGGAGACGGTGCCATTACTGCTGTCCTCCAGGCCTTCGGCAGCCCCTCACAGCTAAGGTACACACTTCTGCCACCCCCTCCCCTGGCACAGGGGTCCTGTGCCGCCCACGTCTAAAGGGATTGCCTATGTTTAACTGCCTCAGTGACCTAACCTCTTTCTTCTTACGTGCCAGATGTTACAGATGAAGGAGGACTACTACACATACTCAAGCCTCAGCTGTTTAAATGTTTTTATTGGGGCTCACTTTTCTGGGTTGTTATTTATTAGTAGACTGGCAAAGCCTAACTCCTTAGGTTTTTATGGGAAGTATGCATATTTTTATAAAAAAAAAAGTTGTGTCTAACCCACATGTGGCTGTGTTTGTTGCCTCAAAAAAAATTGCAGCTGTTAGAACTTTTCCTCATTTGTCTGTTAAGTTGAAGGCCTTGTTGGAGAGGACAGAGCACAGGAACAGCCTTGACAGTCTGTAATTATTGTACAAATATTTTACTAGCATACAATAAGCATATTCCTTTTATTTTACAACAAAATGATCAGACACTGCCTTTCATGTGTTTGTTGCCTGTGGCACTCTTTTTAAAAAAGACTGTTACATATTAAATAGTGTACATATATATAAATATTACCTCTTTTGCTGTACAGTTGTGATAGACCAGACTGAAAATTTTATTTTTTGTGTGCTTTTTATAAAAAATAATTAATACACTAAAGAGAATCTTGCTGTGATTGTAATGTACCTATGTAACTTATTTACTTTTGAATGTTCTGTATCTTAAGACCTTTTATTAAATAAAATTTTAAAAAATTCGCTGTTGAATGCCTTGTCCTTTTAATTTTTATTTATTTTATTTGCATTTGTGTGCTGTGTCTGCATGCATATCAATGCCAGGGTGTCAGATCCTTGGAAACTGGGGTTACAGACAGGTGCAAACTGCCGTGTGGGTGCTGGGAATTGAACCCAGGTCTTTTGGAATGCTCCTAACCAGTGAGTTGTCTCTCCAGCCTCCGAATCATATTCTTGTAGGGGTGGTGTGTGTGTGTGTGTGTGTGTGTGTTTATTTGTTTTTTTGAGGCAGGGTTTCTCTGTAGCTTTGGAACCTGGCCTGGCCTAGAACTCAATTTGTAGACCAGGCTGGCCTTAAACTCACAGAGATCCTCCTGCCTCTGCCTCCCAAGTGCTGGGATTAAAGGTGTGCGCCACCATGCTGCCCCCTACCTCCTTATAGGGATGTTTTTATCAGCTGGGATTGACAGGCCTTGCGTGAAGATGATTTACCCTACCTTTCTGAGCCTTAAGCATTCTCTTTTGTTCTCCAAAATACTCAGTAATACCAAGAAACAAAAGTGTTTGCAGTTTGCCTGGCTACAAAGAAGTAGCAGCAGCGTTCTGTTGTTTTTATATACAAAATTTAGGCAAGAAAGGATAGTGAGTCTCACAGGAACCTGGAGATGGGATTCTCTCTTTTGCTTTCCTAGGGGAGGAACAGCAGCTGTGGCGTGTGATCAGGAGGTACGCAAAGTCAGTACTGAGTGTTTTCGTAGGCAGCATAGTGAATATGAACAACATGAGGAGACAAGTCCGTCATGTGGATGCATATCAGTAAGGCCAACTTAAATTCACAGCAAAATCAGATATATAAAAAAAAGAAAACGATGCTTTGCAATATTTATTGTTAAGAAAGAATCTGGGAGATACGGGCCGGGGGGAGGGGGCGCCATCACAGAATAGACTCCTCAAGCCCCTCAGTACCATAGCAACCGCCAGATCCTCTGGAGCCGGCGCATCTCGCGTCGTCATGGACACGGTTGCCACGGCGACTCTGACGAGCGGGTCGGCCCCGCCCTGCACTGCAGCTGCACGGCGGCGGCCGTTGCGGAGCGCGCTGCTCTAGACGCTGAGCAGAGCTGCCTCCAGCCGGCCTCCCGCCTTCCGCGCCCTGAGGCCTCGGTCCCCGGTGATCGCCAGCTGCCGCAGCCGCGGGTCCCGAGTACCGCCTCTCGCCGCGTCTTCCAAGCCACCGCCTCGCGTGACCCTGCGCCCGCGCCTACCACCGGGCGGCCGGAGAGCAGCGGGAGGAGCCGCCACACCCCGCGACCGCACCCGGCCGGCTCCTCCTGGAGCCCGCCGCCTTCCGCCAGCCTCGCTTCTCTCCTCCATGGCGTGAGGCCAGGCACAGCGGCGGCCAGCCCGCACCTGCTCGTTCCAAAGAGGGCGACATTTGATTAGCGGAGTGACCCGAGGCTCCCGACACTGACTTTGGGATCCGCAAGGGACGACACTGGACTCTGGTGTCATTTGGTAATTGTGGTTGCTTGACGCTTGTCGCCCCCTGGCCTACCCGGGGGAGGGAGGCATGTTGTGTTGTCCTAGGTCCTACGGCACCGTGAGCCAGTCCAGGCGGTGTCTGTAGAACTGGCACCCTTAATAGTGGGGCGAAATGGCCTTGACGCTTCTGGAAGACTGGTGCAGGGGAATGGATGTGAACTCTCAGAGAGCCCTGCTGGTCTGGGGGATCCCTGTAAACTGTGATGAGGCTGAAATCGAAGAGACCCTGCAAGCTGCGATGCCCCAAGTGTCCTATCGAGTACTGGGGAGAATGTTCTGGAGGGAAGAAAATGCGAAGGCAGCCTTGTTAGAGCTCACCGGGGCCGTGGATTACTCGCTGATCCCCAGAGAGATGCCAGGCAAAGGCGGGCTCTGGAAAGTGTTCTTTAAGCCCCCTACTTCCGATGCGGAGTTTCTGGAGAGGTTGCACCTCTTTCTAGCTAGGGAAGGATGGACCGTGCAAGATGTTGCTCGTGTGCTTGGGTTTCAGAACCCTGCGGCCGCTCCAGGCCCAGAAATGCCAGCAGATATGCTCAACTATCTTTTGGATAATGTTATTCAGCCTCTTGTTGAATCCATATGGTATAAGAAGCTGACGCTGTTCTCTGGGAGGGACATTCCCGGGCCTGGCGAGGAGACCTTTGATTCCTGGCTGGAGCACTCGAATGAGGTCATAGAAGAATGGCAGGTGTCTGATATAGAAAAGAGACGGCGGTTGATGGAGAGTTTGAGAGGCCCTGCTGCTGATGTCATTCGCATCCTCAAGGCCAACAACCCCGCCATAACCACCGCAGAATGCCTGAAGGCTCTTGAGCAGGTGTTTGGGAGCGTAGAGAGCTCTAGAGACACACAGGTCAGATTTCTGAACACTTACCAGAACCCCGGAGAAAAGTTGTCTTCTTACGTCATTCGTCTGGAGCCTCTGCTGCAAAAGGTAGTGGAAAAGGGGGCCATTGATAAAGATAATGTGAACCAGGCTCGCCTGGAGCAGGTCATTGCGGGGGCCAATCACAGTGGCGCCATCCGAAGGCAACTGTGGCTGACCGGGGCTGCGGAGCGACCGGCACCCAACCTCTTCCAGTTGCTGGTACAGATCCGAGAGGAGGAAGCCAAGGAGGAAGAGGAGGAGGCTGAGGCAGCCCTCTTGCAACTAGGCCTGGAGGGGCACTTTTGAATCCCTCCATTGGTCTGGCTGCTTTTGTTATCCCTGTGCGGGTTTTGCAAGCCCGCCTCTCACAGTAAAGGCCTAGCCTCCTGTTTTTGTTTTGTTTTGTTTTCTGAGGGATGGGATAAGGGAGTCAGGCCTGCATATTCGTGTAGCAGTCACAGAGTTGTGATTGGCCAGAGCTGCAACAGTAGAGGTAGGTCATACTGCCTAAAACGAATGCTTGACGCAAGTCCTCCTGGTGACATCTTTGACAGTTGTGAAAAAATGTGACTCTGTGACACTTCCTGTCAGGGTGATTGTGAAAGTGCAAGCCTGCTTTGAAGGCTGTATGGTACAAACTGTTACTTTTGTTACTAATATTGTGGATAGTTTTACTGTACATTGTCCCTAATTTATATACATGGGAAGAATGTGAGTCTGTCTATTAGATGATGCTGCTTATCTTGAAAATTCAGATTTCTAATTCCTCATGGCTCAACATCAGACTCACTTTACTGGTCAAGTATTCTAGAACTAAAATTGACATTAGAAAAAATGTGATTTTATGGAGTGGCACAATCTACTTTTCATGGTGTAAGATACAAATATAAGTCAGGGGGAATTGCCATGAACAAGATACATTTTTTCCCACTTTAATTGTTTGTCATTTAATTATTGGTCATGTTGATGCTAAGTGTTCTAAATTTGAAGTTATCAAATAGATGTATACAAATAAAAAATTGAAAATTCTCATCTTGTTTTTTCCTGACATGTATAAAAATTTTTTCCTGACATGTATAAAAATTTTTGGTGTAACTCAGCTCTGTATACTTTTTCTCTTACAAGGATTTTTGCTCATGTCAAAAAATTTTTTTAATCTCCTTGATATGTGAGCTTAAATTGCAACATCAGCTACACATTCTTGTGTTGTTGGTTCCTTGGCTGTTGTTTTGTTTCTTTTTCACAGTCTCACTCTGTAGCTAGCCGAGGCTGGCCTGGAATTCACTCTGTAGCCCAGGCTAGCCTCAAGCTTGTAGCAATCCTCCTGCCTCCAGCCTCCACAGTGCCAGGGTTGGAGGTGTGAGCCACCACACCCAGCTATCTTTTAGATACAGTCTCACTATCTAGCTCAGGCTAGTAGTGAACTTGTGACCCCCTGCCTCTTCCTAGTGGATGCTGGGATCATAGGCACGTGCTGTCACAACCGGCTTTTGCAATTCCTTTTAGTGGGTTCTGTTTTTGCAAGACTTCAAGGCAAGTGATGATGGTTGAAGAGATGAAAATATATTTCTATGAAATCTGACAAAAAAATTGAAATGGGGCTTAGGTTTTCTAGCAACCCTTTTCAGTTTGTGACTGTAACACCTTGTTTCAGTGAAGAAATATGGTTGAGTCACATATGTTCAAAGTGAGCATTTGTTTCATGGAAAAGAGAAAGGCTTAAAAAACCTGTTTGTTTGGCTCTAGAGATCCTGTGACTGAAGATGCTGTCCCTGAGCTCCTGCATCAATCCGGAAGTGCTGTGCAGCTTTCTCATAGGTTTTAAGATCAGAGCTCGGGCAACAATTCAAAGCACATGACTGACTGTCCTCGAAGCGCTGCGGCATGGAGGCCCTGGAGGGGTGACAGACTGGCGCCATTTGTTAACTGTGAATATTAATTTATGGATGCTAATATTGATGTGTTTTCCCAGACTTTTCTTTTTAAAACAGTGTGTATGATGTGGCTGTGAGTGTTATGGCTTGCCTGTGGAGGTCAGAGGACAACTTGCAGGATCCATTATCTCCTTCTACCACGAGGGTCCCTCAACATAAGGCTCTATTTCTTAAACTTTGCACACACACACACACACACACACACACACATACACTTCGCTTTCATGTGCTAACCAACCACACTCCCAACTCCTGTACTTAGATACACATTCTTCAAACAAATGTGGATCCTGCATATTTCCCACAGGGGCATGGTGCACTTTCTGTGTGTGGGCACATGTGGAGGACATAGGATGACTCGGAGGAGTCAGCTCTCCTTTCCACCGCGCAGGTGTGAGGATCAAACCCAAGCTGGCAGCCATGATGGCATAGCACTTCCCGCATCTCACCATCCCACACCATCCTGCCATTGCAACCTCCACTCGGTGGTTGCTACATTGTTTTGTTCAGTAGCAAGGACTGAATCTAAGATCTCATGTGTGCGGGCCAAGCACTCTTCCACTGTGTTACAGCCGCATCCTTTTTCTTTAACACAGTCTCAAGTTTCACATTGTATAGAGGAAGCAAGCTGTCCTGCAACTTGCTATATAGCTGAGGCTGGCTTTGAAATTACAATCTCCTGCCTCATCCTCTCGTGCTCGGATTATGGGCTTGTACCACCATGCTTAGCCTATACTTTTTTAATAGCTGAAGAACTGATTACATCCATGAGGAAAGGTGTTTTTACTATTAGACATGACAGCTGTGCGTATCTACATGTGCATAATCCGTATTTAATACATAAAGTAATGGCAGGATCGCAGATGTCATTCCCTCTTCTCCAGCCTTTCTGAGGTGAGTTTCCTCTGTAGCCTAGGCTATCCTTGAACTCCTGCCTCAGTCTCCTGAGATACTGATGAACACATTCTTTGTACTAGGCAACAGTGAATTCAAAGTAACTAGTTATGACCTGATTGGAGGTTTTCTCTCTGTAAGTTCAGGAAATTTTAAATTCTGGTTTTTAAGAAAGAGCTGTGGGAGAGTAGAAACTGCATGGTAGTTCGAGTCTGTAACAAGATATGTTTTGGCTGATAGCACAGACTATACAGTGGCAAAGTGTGTGGTGCTGATACGGCTGGCTTCACCCTGACTCTCCGCTCACCTTTACCAGGGCTGGCCAGGTGTAGGAGGAACTTGCTGTCCCTGGAAGCACCCTTCAGTGGACACAATGTGGGAGAGCTAGAAAGTCGGGGAAGGGCAGTCTCTCTGGTAGTAAGTGAGAAAGAAATCAGTTCAGCGGGGTTACAAGCAGGTCTTTAATCCCAGCGCTTGGGAGGCAGGCAGATCTCTGAGTCTGAGATCAGCCTGGTCTATATACTGAGTTCTAAGACACCCCGGGCTGCACACGGAGGCCTTGTCTCAAAAAACTAAATAAATAACAGTTAAGCGTCTCTTCACCCCACCCCCGTTGCTGTCTCCCTCCTTCTCCTCCACCATCTCTGTCTCTTCCCTGAACCTATCACCACATGGTATTCAAAAGCTGAATTGCTTCAAAGATCAAATATCATGGGAGTCATTCTATGTTAACTAAAACATAATAACCAAAGAACTTCTTTTTTTATAAAATAACATGATTTATTACTATTTTAAAACAAGTTTCACAAAAGAACATTCAGAAACTCAATATTAACTAAATAATTTAACACACAATAAGTTTAGCCATAAATTCATGCTACAAAAGTCCTGTGTATAAAAGACTGTTACCAAAGCTTTAACTGATGTTAAAATGTCCTTCAGAATGAACGTGGTTCTAGAAGCCAAGGCTTTGGGAATGGCGCCCCTGACCACTGAGGGCCACCAGGGTCCCACTGGGCAACAGCATCACAGTGACCTCCCACAGGATCTCCCAGTGATCCAGAAGCTAAGCTCTTAGCTATGTAATGTAGCCAACACCACAATGAGTTTTTAAAATCTAGATATGGGCTGGGTATGGTGGCGCGTGCCTTTAACTCTACCACTGGCAGAGGCAGGCGGATCTACCAAGGGCAGCCTGGTCTACAGAGTGAGTTCCAGGACAGCCAGGGAAAACCTGCCTCGAAAAACCAAATGAAGTCCGGCCGTTGGTGGTGCACGCCTTTAATCCCAGCACTTGGGAGGCAGAGGCAGGCGGATCTCTGTGAGTCAGAGGACAGCCTGGTCTACAGAGCGAGTTCCAGGACAGCCTCCAAGACAATACAGAGAAACCCTGTCTTGAAAAAAACCCAAGAAAAAAACCAAAACAAACAAACAAAACAACAACAACAAATGAAAAAAAATCTAGATATGGACAGAAAATACCCACAGTTTCTATTCTGAATAGGAATGCTATTTTACACCCTCCCAGAGGGATGACCCTGGACACAGCAGCCCAAACAGGAAAGGCAGGAAGCCTTAACTGACCATAAAGACAGACAGCAATTTCAGCTGAGTAGGCAAGGCCTTAAGTCTGAGCCTGGAACACCTGTATGCAGGCTAGGTAGCACACACCTCTCCTTTGGAAGTAGTTTCCACCATCAGCCACACTCACAATTTTAAAGTGCAAATCTACTAAAAAAATAGTTTATTCTTTCTACCTCCTTGCTAAATTTGTTAGATCATAATTTTGTTGTCTCTGTAATCTGCCCAATATGGGAAATTAATGAGAATCTGATTATAATTTCTCCACGTGTCAAGTGAACCAGTTTATATTAGGTTAGAAGTCTAGCTTTTTCCTTTCAGTTTCCTTTCTTACAACTAATGATGAATAAAGGCAGGGATAGATACATAACCATGGACTTCTGAAAGTTGAGCGACTCTAACGTAACCCTAAGCTTTAAATTTCAGCACGTGTACTTTGCTGGGGTGGGTGAGTGTGTCGCACTGGGTAAGGATAAGGAAACAGCTCCACCCTGCTGCACTGCCAGGCTTCATCACTCTCGACTCTGCCAGCCCACATAGAGCGTGAGCTCCCAGGCTGACTGTGGCAAAACAGCTTGCAATCGGTTTTCTCCCTTTACCTCGGCTTTACCGCTCACAGCCTCAGGGAGCTATGAACTACAACCTCAGGCAGAGACAACAACTCAGAACACTCACCCACCCCCCATTTTCAAAGTGAATGATTAAATCCAAACTTTCTGGGAGGCCATCTGCCTTTTCATTTTAACATTAAGAAAAGCCCAGGTAAGAGATCCCAATTCTGAGCCAATGACAGATTTAGTTCTCATTGTTCCTTATTTTGCTTTCAGACCACTGGTAAAGGTATCAGAAGGAACACCTATTCAATAAAAGATTTCCACCCCAGAGCCACATGTAGGGCACCTGCAGGAAGCTGCTAAGTCACTGACCTGTTGCACAGCATCCTTGTACTCAGTGGCACTGGACGTCTGCAGCAGCTAATGTCCATGCGTGAGCAACTGAACGCAGCACTGTGTAGATAAAAGACTGACACAGTCTGCAAAAGAATGTGTGCATGGTGATACATTTTCTAAAGTATATTCCAAACATTAAGCTTTGGAAACAGAGTAAAATCTATCATATAGTTGGATTTTGTTGACCGTGAGATAGCCTAAACCATCAATCACTGTCCTAAGATGAGCAGGGAACACAGAAGAGGACACGTAACTGAACTTGAAACCCTTCGGAGAGAAGGTGGAGCATCCAGGCCTGAGTTTCTAAGACTGTGTGGCCCACTGAAATTGAGGGCAGACTACTGATCATCTCCAGTCATGGTGGTAAACGATGTCACTTTCTCACAATAATTGTAGCAGTGCTGGACTACAGGGTTACAATGAACAAGGCTTAGACAGAGGAATATTAGAACAAGAAACGGGGTTGTGTCCTTGTCATCCCCTCCCCCACTCCAGGGGACAGTGGGCAATGTTTGGAGCCATCTTCTGCTATCATAACTAGAGAGGAGGCATCTAGGGAGTAGGAGACAGGGTTGTGGCTAAACAGCCTACAATACACAGCCCACAACAGTGGGCTATGCAATCCAATGTAAACAGTGCCGATACTGAGGCTCTCTGGTGCAGGTAGCAGAGAGAACAAAAGCCTTCCAAGGGCTGGCTAGAGAATATGCCATTAGCTCAGCATTAGAAAACACAGAAAGTAGAATTCTGGTCTACTAACATCGTATTGACTGTGAAAAATGAAAATACTGGGCTGATTCCAGCACTCTACCACTAACAAAACAGCAGAAGTTCAGGTGAACACAGGAAGCATCTATTCCAAGGTGGTCCAATCTCCAATCTGAACAACATAAGCCAAATGCACCCTATATGAACTACATTTTTCACAGTAACAGATGACTTAAGGAATAATCTGAGACAATATCCTGAACTTTTTCGTATATCCAGCCTTCCGTTCCATTTCTTAAATGAGTGCATTTGGCTTTAATTCCAGAAACAGATGTATCAAAATCATTCCAATATTTATGGAGAAGAGCCAAAAGTGATTTTTGTGAGAAATGGACACAGAAAAGCACCTTACACATCTCTGAGATCCACTGATTAAATGACATTAAGAAATGGGGGGGTTCCCAATTACATAATTCGGGGAAAAAACCAAAACCACGTTTACTGTAAGTCATTTCACAGATCCAGCATGAAGTCATCCACTCCCCATACTCACTCCCAGGGTACCTTTCAGAAAGTATGGCCGTACATAACAACAGGGCTTGCCTTGTGCAAACTACAAGTAACAACAGTGTCCCTCTCAGCTTCTAAGACTTCTGCATCACCAGGGAGAATGAAGTCTCACCCCTGTGTGTCACAATAGAAATGCCAATGGTTTTGAATGTTTAAGCTCGGTGGCAGGATAAAGTTTCTTCCCATCAGAAAAGCTTAAAAAAAGCATATAAGGTATTAGACTAGGTATTCTTTTTAAAAATACATTATTTCCTGTGTATGAGTGTTTAGCCTCCATGTGTCTGTGTAATGTGTGTGCCCGATCCCCCAGAGGCCCAAAAGGGCACAGAACCCTGGGGCTGCAGGCGGTGTGACCCTCCACACTGGTGCTCTCCGCCTCTGAGCCATCTGCAGCCCAAGGTGAGGCACTCTTGTTTGCATTTAGACTGATTGTCAAAGCAGTGGTCCCTTTGGATCAGTGTGACTCTTAGAGGAATAAAGTCATTCTTACTGAAATGATCAATTGCTCAAATCAAGACTACTTATGCAATCTTTAAAAAGAACGACTTTCCTCTTTCTCCACGGTTGCTTATGAAGGAGTCACAGGGAGGCGGGAACGGGAAGCGTAGCCTCTGCTGAGACTTTAGACACAACTTGGCGGGGTCCTGACTTCTTTTCTGCAGTTGATGCTTCCATACAGCCCACTAAAGACTCCATCTGGTGGCTGACATTTTTCAGAATATTTTTCTCACATGATAAACCATAATCTCCACACCTAACTATTGCTTTGCCGACTCGAGGCTAAGACACCTACAGCGTTCCACCAGAGACAGTCTCCAACGCATTGCCATTTGCCTGGGATCCACCTCACAACATCTCTCTCTTCCCTCGACACTACTTACATGATACACTTTAAGAACTGTTTATCTTAGATCCTCTCAAAAATATATTTAGAAAAACTATTTCATTTATTTAGAGGTACCAAATTCAGTCTTTAAGTCTGTACCCTTATAGACATAAAGCAAAGGGCATTGGGCTAAATCATTAGGGGAAAGTTTTTATAAATCTCAGGGGTAGATACTTAGAACTATTGACTACTGCTTTAAACATATGAGAAATTCTTTTTTAAAATCTGCATAAGGCAAGGTCTACAAGAGTTAACATTACTATCAAAGGACTGATTGTGCCAGTTGCGTTAGACACTGATGGGGATCATAGGGTTGTACATAATGACTCAAGTGACCACCATGTAGCACAGCCTAAATTCCAGTTGACAGTAAGGAAGTAACTATAGCAGGAGCTGAGAAGACACAGGCCAGTCACTCTTGTTTTTTCACCAGCGTTTCCATCAGACTCTTGGTTGCAGGGACAGCTGTGTTCTAACAGGAATGCTTCCGTCACCACGCTGCCTTCTGAGCCAGTGGGGAGGTGCATTTGCGCTTCTGTGCTTATAAGGACGTGAACCTTTACAGACTTGAAATACACCTTTAAAATGCCTGGCCTAAAAAAATGCTAAGCAACTGAGTACAGAAACAGTCCCTCTGCTGTTAGAAATGACTGGTGTGTAAATTTTAGGAGACAGGTGATATGGTCCATAGCTGGACAGAACCAGGAAATTGGTAGTTTCCAAAGGTGGACTGGACACAGTCAATGCTGCTGGTTTGAGGGAGAAACTCTGAATAGGGTTTTTAAAGGATATGGAAGTGAGAGATGTGTTTTATCTTAAGAACTGTACCCTCACAAAATCTTTAAAATAGACAATTATACAAAACATCTATTGTTCTCATAACATTTAAATAAATTAACATAAAGTCTAAAGTATGGCCTTAGCTTTCATCTTCCTCATCTTCCTTAATTACTGGAGTACCTAGAATGAAAAAGAAAATATTATTTCTGGTCCCTTTCTCTTTTGTCTTTTGAGACAGAGTGTCTCTGTGCAGACCTGGCTGTTTTGGAACCTGCTATTTAGATCAGGCTGAACTTGAACACAGAGATCCTCCAATCTCCATTTTGAGAGTACTGGATTGTTTTTGTTTTGTATTATTTTGTTGTTTGCTTGTTTGTTTTCGAGACAGGATGTCTGGAACTCACTAGACCAAGCTGGCCCTGAAGTCAGAGGTGGGTCTGCCTTGGCCTCCTGAGTGCTGGGACTAAAGGTGTGTGCTACCACACCTGGCTTGTTTCATTCTTATGGGAAGGATTTCACTTTCTCTACACAGCTCTAGAAGAAGTGAAGACAAATGAACTCAGAGGGCCTCTAGAGTTCAAGCAAAGATGAACAGAGAATGGCTGAAATTCAAGCCTCTAATGTAGCTTCTATTTCCTCTTCCTTTCTCCATTGTCCCCCTTCTTTATTTGGTGCTGGGGATTGAACCCAGGGCCTCACACATGCTAAGTAACACTCTACCACTGGACTATACTCTTGGTCATCTTCGTTCATTCATGCAAATGCAGTCTGAATTATTTAAAGGGTCACAAGACTAACTGTGCACTCCCGTACAGTCTGGGAACTAGAGTATCACTAGTTTCATGGGAGCCTGTCTGCTTCATGACTATTCTTGCATCGTGTTATTTTATGCCTAGGTATGTGTCTAGAGAAGAATGGGACACATTTGGCATTGTTCATCTAGAGCTCTGGAGCAGACTGATCCAGAGGCAGAAAGCAGCAGAGACTAGGTGGTGGGGAGAAGGAATGAAGGGCTGCAAAGAGCACAAGAAACCTTAGTTTATTGTGTCCATCTGTATGTGTGTGTGTGTGTTCATGTGTGTGCAGGTGCACATGCGTGTGTATGCACATGTGGATGCTAGAGAAAAACATTAGGTATGGCTTCTTGGGTGCTTTCCACCTTGCTTTTTCTTTAAAGTTATTAATTTCCCTACTTTTTATTTTTCATGACTGTGGACTATTCCTTTACACTGTATAAATATATGTGGCTGTGATAAAGAAGCTGACTGGCCAGTAGCTGGACAGGATAAGGTTAGGTGGGAAAGCCACACTAAGGACACTGGGAAGAAGAAGAAGAGGAGTCGCCAGCCAGAAATGGCGAGGAAATAGGAAATGCAAGATGAAAGAGAGGTAATGTCAAGTGGCAGAATGTAGATTAATATAAATGGGATAATTTAAGTTGTAAGAGTTAGCTAGTAACAAGCCTAAGCTATTGGTCAAACATTTATAATTACCAAGAAGTTTCTGTGACTGTGAAGACACAGAGAAACTCCACTTACACATGGCATGATCCTTTCTCAAAAAAATAAACAAAAGAATGAAACAGAACCCCTAATGTAGACCCTGTGGGTTTATGAACATGAATATAGTGTCCCTAGAGACCAGAAGACAGTGCCAGATCCCTCAGAGCTGAAGTTATAGGTGTTTGTGGGATCCCTAGCTTGTTACATGGGTGCTAGGATCTGAACCCAGCACAGTGAAGCAAGGATGGCGAGGAGAGACGAGTGACGAGGGATGAGTGGTCAGGTCCTTTATTTTGAGTGTGACTGTCCCTATGCGCCCTTGGTACAGTATGGCAGTCACCGTCACTGGGTACTCTTTCTCCCAGTCAGTCAGTTGGGTTTGTCAGCTGTGTGCATGACTGTTTTAGGGTGGGGACAGACTAGAAAGCAGGAGAGACCACAGCCTTACTTTTGTCTCTGGATAGCTTAAGAAGGCTGGAAGGACCAGTTAGTGGAAAGACACAGAACAACAGGAAGGAGTGTGCAAGACATCCCGAGGACGGCGGCTAAGAAGGTCTGCGATGGGGAACTCGGGCTCTGGTGTTTAACACTACTGCGAGGGAATGAACACCTAAGATCATCACAGATCTCATTCAAAAACACAAACCAAACAAACCAACAAAAAGACCATTTCTGCAAGCCAGGTGTACAGCACGGCAGTGGCAGGGAACGGTCTGGAGGAGTCAACAGGAGTTTTGGGAATGGGGACAATCGATGCTTCTGACCTGTAAGTTTTCCTCATGACTTGTTCTATAACGATGGCATCATCCAGAGAGATATTAAGAATGTCTTATGAGCCGGGCATTGGTGGCGCACGCCTTTAATCCCAGCACTCGGGAGACAGAGACAGGCGGATCTTTGTGAGTTCGAGACCAGCCTGGTCTATAAGAGCTAGTTCCAGGACAACCTCCAAAGCCACAGAGAAACCCTGTCTCGGAAAAAAAAAAAAAAGAATGTCTTATGATAGCTGGGTATGTGCCCTTAGTCCCAGAACTTGTGAGTTTCCAGCTAGCCCAGAACTGCGCTGGGAGTTCTAGGCCTGCCCAGACTATGTAAGACCCTGTCTCAAAAGACAAGCAAAAACTCAGCACACAAGAAAGAATGTTATACTAAATATTTTGATTGCCCAGATGATAGGAAGGTGGAGTTCAAAGTCAAAATGAATTTATACTGAGATTTTCATATGTGGGGAAGAAGTAGGGGGACAATGTAATTCTGATTTAATTGTGAAGATCAACTACTTGTCATTTATGCCTACATATTCCACAAATAGTATTTTTATAATTTGGGAATAAGTCTAGTTTCTTGTAAGATTTAAGCGCAGGGTGATCTTTGTACCAGTCTAAAATTCCTAGGAATTTCTCATTATACTTGGCCTAAAACTGTAAGATCAAATCACAGAGGACAGAAATGGCCTCAACAATGAGAGACAACTTGTCTTTTCTCCAGTTTTGCTCCTCTTTTGCTCCCTGGCAGATTTTCAGGTTTCGTCCCCAGGACGTGCCCAGCTAGCCCAGAGCCACTCACCATCCAGCTTCTTCAGCCTAGACACTCTCTTGGTTGCCTCGTCGATCCAGTTGCCCTCAGCAGAATGCTTCTCCTCCAGGGGGTTGCCTACGAACACCAGGTCTTCCAGGCATGGCAGCTCTGCCAGCTTCACAAATTCAGCTGCAAGTACAAAGAACTCTGTCCACACTGATAAACTGGGGAGTCAAACTAATAGGGTTTTGGAGACAGAGCTCAATCCCGACTCCATCTGTGACTATGCAGGACAGTGCTTTGAGATTTTGAAGACGAAGGAAAACTTTATCAAGTCATCTTTTGAGGAAATTATGGGATAGGAGGGAAAATGCAGACCTCTCTTCTACCTTTAATGCTGCTCTAATGATGGGATGAACAGAGAAGGGTCAGTGCTGAAAAGAACAGCAAATCAATTTCTGAGGCACTGCACAGAGGAGGCTACACCAGCCGGCCTTTGTCCCTGAATTCCCAAAGCAACTCATTCAAATCCTTATTACAGAACTTACAACAGTTGCAGAAATATTTAGCTAAACATTTCCCCTCTCAGCTGTGAACTGAGAAGTTGGAACAATGTTCCCATCCAGAATGTTTCCAAGTCTTTGGCAGAGTTCAGGGCGTATACAGCGGAGTGTTAGAGCGTGCTGAAAGAATAGCATGCTAAAAGAGCAAAGCAATGTAGGCATTGAGTCAGTCTTCCATGCTTACTGAATTTAAATGAACTTCCTTTGGATGATACATTTTTCCATGACTCACAGGTCCAGGACTTACACAGTCACATTCACCGTAAAGTCACTGTGCGTGCGTGTGTGTGTGTGTGTGCGTGCGCGCGTGTAAATAGTTAAATATATACTTCTTGTATTTAAAACTTGGGAATTCCTAGAGTTATTCCCAAAGCTGTTTTCCTCTGTGTTTAGAAACAAAGGTTCCTGTTTTATGCATTTTCCCCTAAGTGGGTGCTTTCTCTTTTAGTGTTGTGAGGTAAGTCTCACCACCTCAAACCCTGTCCTGCCTCAGCCTCCTGAGTGTGGGGGCTCATGGAAGGCATGCCCAGCTCCTGCTGCCTGTTTTCTATAAGCGGGAGGCGGGAGACTAGCGATCACTGCTCTCAGCTTACCCCAGTCTTTTACCAGGTTATTAGACATGTAGAGAATCTTCAGTTTCTTCATTACATGGATCCCTTTCAACTTCTCTATAAAATTGTAGGAGATCCACAGTTCTTCTAAGGTGTCTCCTACTGCTTCCTGGAAAAGAAAGCATCTGACTTACATTCCTGATTTTAGCCCTCCGCGCCTATCTCTTTCCTTACAAACATATGGAATGGCTTTAAAGAGACCCGAGACCTCTCTGTTCTCTGTGGAAGTTCTAGTCCATGAAATGAATGGAAGAGAACATTCCCTCCTCCTATTAAGTAGATCTCAACTCCGTTCTCTGATTGCTTCACAAACATTCAAGAACTACTGAAATCACTACAGAGTGAGTTCCAGGACAGTCTAAGCTGTCACACAGAGAAATCCTATCTCAAAATACCAAAATAAAGTAAAATAAAATAATATAACATTTCTTATAAGACTTTAGAATGCATGATTTCTAAATACTTAAGACTGTTTGTAACTGATTACCCAGTTATATAAAATAAATAGTCCCATCCCCCCAGGCAGCTCTGGGGCTTAAATGGGCCTTACACATGTAAGGTAAGTGTTCTACCACTGAGCTACAGCCCCAGCTAAAACAAATAGACTTTTAGCGAATATACCACTACTTATGGAAGAAAAGTCACCCCATTCATTGCAGCAACGAAAATTATAAATTCTCAGGAATACATTTTTTTGTTCAAGAAATGTAGAAGGTCTTATAGGAATGAAAACGTATATAACTTTATGAAGAAGAAAAACAAAATGAGTAAATCTTCCTGTAAGAAGCTTCATTGCTACGAAGCCATCAATTCTTTTCAAATCAATCTATATATTTAATGCATTTCTATTAAGATTTCCAAAGGGAATTATACTCATGAATGTAACACAGTGATTCCCAAATTTCTCCAGAGTAACCACTCAGGAAAAGTCATAAATGTTTTGCCAAGGAGAAAACAGATAGGCAACAGATAGGTAGCAGGAATTTATGAAGGGAACGAGAGAAAGATAACCAAGCAGGAACTCACTCACGCATACAAGACTTTGGTGGACAGTATTTCCACAGTGGGCCGGGGACTTGAGAAAACCCTCATTTTTATTTATGTGTGTGAGTGTTTGACTGCATGTGTGCCTGTGCATGGGCAGTCAGTACCAGCAGCGGACAGGAGAGGGCATCAGATACCTGGGACTACAGTTATAGACTGTTGTGAGCTAACACATACGAATGGGAATCAGATCTGGGTCCTCTACCAGAGCAGCCAGTGCTCTTAATGATAGAGCCATGTATGTTAGAATTCGGGCCTGTCTTTGGAGTTTCGACAGGATATGCCCTCAGCTGCAGCCACTAAGAGCATACACATGCTTTCTGCCAAGTTTGATGACCTGAGTTCAAGTCCTAGGACCCACATGTGGGTCTCAAGTTGTCTTCCAACATCCACATTCATACCATGGCACAAGCATAAACACACACACACACACACACACACACACATACATACAACAAATACAATGCAAAAATAAATTAATACAAATAAAAAGGGATACAAAATAGCATGTATGGTACAATGTCACCTTACAGACTCCTCAACACAGCCAAGCAAGCACCAGTGGGCTTTGACTTGTCATATTTGACCTTCTACTTGTAAAGTCTCTACAACATAAAAACATTATTTTATAATAAAAAGCATATGCTTTTTAAAAAATTAAACAATAACCTACCAGTCCATTGAGGTTCTTTATGTTGTTTCTTCCTAAGGACAAAATCCTCAAGTTTTCTGTCGTGGAAAGAAAGCATTTTGTTTGTGAGAAATACACACACACACCTATCCTAAGTCAGTAGAAATGTTACAGAATAAATGTCTCTACACAGTGAGTTTCAAGGCTCTACTACAAAACAGGTAACGGAGCCGGCAAGATGGCTCAGCAGATATTTGCTGCCAAGCTTTGGAGCAGGCCCCCACAAGCAGGACCTCTCATCTCCATACCGGTGCAGGTTACTTCAATTACAGAGAAATCCAAGAGAGGAAAAACCTGAATTAGCCTAAGTTATTAATGAGTCAGTAAAAAGGGAAACAAAGGCACCACCTTAGACACAAGCCCAGTAATGATTAACACTTCCCCTGAACACTCGATGGTAGTGAGGGATGGGGGTGCAGAGTAGACTGGGGTAGACGCTGTCTATGGCTAGGATATGAGACAGCCCCCTAAATGGCTCACGCGTTAAAGGTTTAGTTCCAAATGCAGCTGCGTTCAGAGATGGACTTTTGGGGAACTGCCTGGGTCATGATGAATTTGATCTCATTACACGGCAGCAGTGGGAGGTGGTGGGAAACAGGAAGTGAGGACTAAGGGGGAGACACAGGCCAACGTGGGTGTACTCTGGGAAGATATGCCTTGTTCCTGGCCCCTTCCTCTCTCTCGGGAAGCATGCCCACTTTTGTCTGCAGTGACATCCTCCCATGTCACCACCTTGTCTCAGGCCCAAAGCAACAACCTAGATGAGCTTGGCTGAAAACTGAAACCATTAGTCAAAGTCAATCTTCCTTGCTACAGACTCCCTTGGCATTCATCATGGGGTAAGGGTCTGACTGACATGAAGGCAGGAGGGTTTCCCAGCCGCTGTGTTTCCAGTTGTGGGGGCTCCACACAACAGAACATGTTCCCAACTAAAGCCATCGCTAATCTTCACCCGGGCAAGGGATTTATTTTTAGTGCTCAGGACTGAACCCAGGGCCTCATATACATCAGGCAAGCATCCCACCATTGAAGCTCATCATCAGCCTCCCCCCATTTTGAAACAAGGTCTCACTCTGTAGCCCAGGCTGGCCTATAATTCATTATGTAGTCTAGGCTGGCCTTGAACTTGCAGTGATCATTCTGCCTGAGCCTCCCAAGTATTGAGATTATAGGCTTGAGACACTATGCCTAGCTTCAGTCCCCCTCTCTTTAAAAAAGTCCCATTCTTGAGACAGGGTCCTGTAAAGGCTGCTTATGGTGGCCTCAAACTCAAAACTCCTTCCTCAACCTCCCAAGTAGCTCAAATTATATATGTACATTCCCACACCCAGCTTTAGTCGTCATTTTATATGTACGATATATAGTTCTATACTTTATATTGATTAACTCAGCTGGTCTTCACATGGACTGCATTAATAGGTAAATATTATTAAAATCTAAGGTAAATTATAAATATTCTCAAGGGAGTGATCATGATGGTGGAGACCTGAGAAGCCCTAGGGAGGAGGAGGCCTTTAATGTGGCATTCTTAATCCTGACCTTAATTTATTTTCTTTAACTTAATTTTATTTTTAATTTTACATATCAATCCCAGTTCTCCCTCTCTCCCCTCATCCCGCTCCCCAAAACTTCCCTTCACCCCACCCCCCATCTGCTCCTCAGAGAGGGTAAGGTCTCCCACAGGGAGTCAACAAAGTCTGTCCCATCACCACATTGAGGCCTGACCAAGACCTTCCCTCTGTGACTGGGCTGAGCAAGGTATCTCTCCATAGGCAATGGGCTCCAAAAAGTCAGATTATGTACTAGGGATAGATCCTGGTCCCACTGCCAAGGGCCTCATAGACTGCCCAATCCACCCACCATCCCCTGCATTCAGGGGGTCTAGTTCAGTTCTATGCAGGTCCGGCTGCTGTCAGTCCAGGTTGGTGAGCTCTCATTAGCTCAGGTCAGTTATTTCTATGAGTTTCCCCATCATGGTCTTGACACCTTTGTTCATATTATCACTCTCCCTTTCTTTGACTGGAGTCCGGGAACTTGACCTAGTGCTTGGCTGTGGATCTCTGCATCTGCTTCCATCAGTTACTGGATGAAGGTTTGACAATTACAATGGTCCTTAATATGATTACAGGGAAGGGCCAGTCCAGTCCACCTCTCCACTATTGCTTAGAGTTTTATCTGGGGTCATCCTTGTGTATTCTGGGGAATTTCCTTAGGACCAGGTTTCTCAATAATCCTGTAATGGTTCCTTATATCAAGATATTTCTTTCTTTGCTCTCCCTCTCTGTCCTTCCCCCAACTTGACCTTCTCGTTCCTTCATGTTCTCCTCTCCACTTCCCTTCCCTCCTCCCTTCTCCCCTTCCCCTCTCCCCTCTCCCCCCCATGCTCCTAATTTACTCAGGAGCTCTTGTCTAATTCTCCCTCCTAGGCAGAACCATGTACATTTCTCTTAGGGTCCTCTGTTACCTGGCTTCTCGGGCTGACTTAACTTCTTACAGGGTTTTTCTTGGGAGATGATGAGGCTGTACTCATGAGAAGCACTTTCTAAGCAAATGTACAAAAAAGAATGGTATGGCCAGGCATGGTGGTGCACACTTTTCCTCCCAGCACCCAGGAAACAGAGGCAGGTGGATCTCTATTTGAGGCCAGCTGGATCTCTATAGGTTTGACCCAGAAAGGGCTACATAGTGAGACCCTGTCTCAAACAACAACAACAACAAACAAACAAAGAAAACCAACAAACAAGCCAAGAAAAGAATGATATGTTTATGTTTGAGAATGACAAGGGCAGTATAAGCTTTTAGATGACTGACTGCAACATTAGGCATTAAATCTTTATTAGGCAAATATGAATGATTAAACGGTCTCTGATCTGGGACAATGGTATTTTCAGAATGAGAAGTATGGCGTCAGTAAGGACAGTTAATTGAAGAACAGAAATACTGTCCTAGGCAGTGCTTTTCAGGGCAAACAGGCAAGAGCCTTTAATAGGTCGTGAGATCGATTAAGTGTGTTGTAGGCTGGGTGGACAGTTAATTGCTAGCACAAAAACCTGAGTCTGGTTCCCAAAAGTCAGGAAAAAAAGCTGGTGTGTTGTACATGTGTAATCCCAGATCTAGTGAGGGGAAGTCAGCAGACCCTTGGGGCTGGCTGGCAAGCTACCCTAGCCAACTTGGCCAGCTCCAGGCCAGTGCAGGCCAGTAAAAGAAAGTTTTTTTCACAGCAAGGTAGATGGCTTTTGAAGAATGACATACAATGTTGGCCTCTGACTGACACATATGGACACTCACTCAAAACACATAGAGACACACAAATTTACTGTGTTATGGTTGACATTAAGAAAATAAATCAGCCAGGCATTGGTGGTGCACGCCTTTAATCCCAGCACATGGGAGGCAGAGGCAGGTGGATCTTTGTGAGTTCTAGGCCAGCCTGGTCTACAGAGTGAGTTCCAGGACAATCTCCAAAGCAATACAGAGAACCCTATCTCAAAAAAAAAAAAAAAAAAAAAAACAAAGAAAAGAAAGAAAAGAAAAAAGAAAGAAAATAAATCAAGTTTTAAAATTCACACTAGAATTTATGCTACAAGGTCATATGCTGTTTTCCAAACTATGCCAGTTTACACATACACATTTGATTTGTATATTTATAGGGTAGTATAATAAGTTCAATCTTTTTCTGCAAGACTTAGGAGGAAGCTAATGAGGCTCTACATCAAAGACTCCACTCCTGGAAATGGAAAGCAGCAATCACCTCAGAGGACCCTCACAGAAGAGAACAAACAGGACTCGGTGGTAGATTGGAGCAGGGCTTGGTGTGGCAGGGAGTGCCATAGACTAAACAATGGCTCCCTCAAAGATACCTACACGCCAATCCCTGGAGCCCGTGACTGTGACTTTGTAGGGCAGGAATGTCCTTTGTAGATGTGTCCAAAGATCTTGTGATAGAGCCAGCACTTGGGAGGCAGAGGCAGGAGGATCTCTGTGAGTTCGAGGCCAGCCTGGTCTACAGAGTGAGTTCCAGGACAGCCAGAGTCACATAGTAAGACCCTGTCTTGGAAAATAAAAACCAACAAATCAAACAAAAAGAAAAAGAAAGGAAGCAATGATCTTGAGATGGGGTCATCCTTACTATCTGATGTGTCGAGTGTCCTTGTGTCCTGGCGGGAGTAAGGCAAGGACTTAGCACAGACAGATTAGAAGGTCCTTTGATCACAAAAGCTGAAATTGGCACCATGAAGTCAGAAGTCAGGAACGTGGGGGCCGCCAGACAATGGAACAAGTAAGAGAAAGATTGTTCCTAAAAGCCTCAGGGAAGGCTTGGTCTGTGGCTCAGTGAAACTAGTGTCATATTTGCAACTTGTAAAACTGAGAGAACACACTCTGTCGTTTAGGTCACCACATTGCAGCAGCCATGAACTACCTGAGGAAGTAAGGAGCAGAGAGAACACAGGGATGGTGGGGGCTGACAGCTTAAACACAGCAAGTTCAAAACACCAACAAGACAAATGTGAACACAACAGAAGATCTGGCTGTCTCAGTCAGTCAACTCTAACTCCATGTAAGTTTTAAAGGAACTTTAAAAATTCAGGTTTCATGCCATCTCTTATTTTCTTTGGATAACCAAACTCAGACATGGTTACATCTAGTCTCTGTCATCTGACATGTACTGTGACTGAAACAGGTGCCAGCATCTGGAATGACACATGTTTCTGGAATGTTTGCTCCAATAACTAGAAAGCTGAGAGCCATCTGTTCCTGAGGGTCACTTACTTAAGCCGTTCAGGTTGGCAATTTTTTCAATGCAGTTTGTAGACAGGGAAAGCTTCCTTTAAAAGAACAAAGAAAAACATTAATCAATTTAAAAACCTAAGTGGAATGTCAGAAATTATTTCTGAATAGTAACAGTAATAGCCCATGGAAGATTTTTAATTCATGTTTCTTTTTATACTGAATCCACTTTCCCCTTCATCTGCAGAATTTATTCCTTCATTTTGAAATCTTTCCCCCCATTGATTATAAAAGTTAATACATACTCATTATAGAGAATTAAAAACAAACTTTTTAAGGGCAGTTTGGTGTTACCTATTAAATATTTAGTATATGTATTCTTTGATTGAATATTTCATAGTCTTCTGAGATATTATTTTTATTGCATTTTACAGATAAAATTGAGGTGTAAAGCTGTTAAGCAACTTTCCCAATATTACATAGTTACAAGGTGGCAGGGTCAAAATTAAAACCCTAGAACATATATCTTACCCTCGTGATTTGACTTGAGGAGGAATTATTCATTTTTAATCTGCTTGAAAAAGCAAAGGCAATTACTATATACATACCAGGTAAGTCAAGGGCCAACGCTGCATGTTTTCTGCTCACTCACCCCCTCTTGAACACTACTGGTGGTTAAAGGAATGCCTTTAAACCTAAGGCTATGGCTTGGAAGGAACTCTTTAATTTCTCTTTAGGCAGCCTGTCCAAAAGATGTCTGCAAAAAATGTGAACAGCCTGACTCTAAGTGGCTTATGAGGAGCTTTGTGTGGTTCATAGGCCCCAAACTCACTGCCTTTCAGATAGTTCCATGATAAAAACATTTGATTACTTTGAAGTCATAGTTGAAGCAAACAATTTTTTTCTCTAGTTCATCACAAGGAACAAGTTGTACTCAGTAACTAAACATGCTTGCTTTTCCTTTGATTCAAAGATAACTCTCTAATAGGATCACAGATGTGTCTAAGAACGGTCCAATTTGCTTACTGTAAATAAGACACTGAGGTTTCATTAAGAGACCCCCTGCTTCTGTGAAATTGGGATTGGGTTTATCTCCTACAGAAAGGGCAAGTGAAGGAATCACAATTCGATAAGCACAGAGTGAAGGAGCCCCAGGAACTCTAGAGTACTCTATAGCCTTGACAAGAGACAAGGAAGTGTGAAAATATGGGTATGATGTATCAGAGTACAACTTTCAAGTTAGCCATAGAACCCTGCTAAAAACTGACAGAATGTTTAGAAAATAAATTATGAGAATTAATATCAACTTGAATATATATATATATATATATATATATATAGTGTCAATATCAACTTGGCAGTTAAAGTCCTAGGAAATAAGATTACAAAAACAGTATAATCTGATCCCAATTAGAACTTTTTGTTTGCTTTTATGAAACAGGATCTCATTATCTGGTCCTGTGCTAATGATTCGCCTGCCTCAGCCTTCCAAGGGCTGAGGTTACAGGCATATGCCACCATACCCAGCCTAATTAGGGTATTCTCAAAGGGCTAATACTAGTCTTACAATATATTGCAACTTAGGTGGGTGTTAGTTCCTTTTTTCATATTTATTATATTTTGAAGTGTATTTTAAAGTTATTTTTTTAAGAGGCATCTCAAGCATCTAGTAAATAAACATCACTTTGGTCTTGGGTAGTTTTACAAGAGAAATCAATAGATTGATAGGTTTTGTTTTATTATTTTATTGCTGCATGGGGTGGAACTCAAGGCCTTGCATAGGCAAGTACTAGCGAGTTTGATGACCTCAGCCCACTTTTTCACCATTTGTGTGTGTGTGTGTGTGTGTGTGTGTGTGTGTGTGTGTGTGTGTTGTACAGGTGTACACACAGGTGGAGCCTAATGTTGAGGACTCATGCGTCTGAATCATCCTCCATCCCTCTTCCACCTTATTCATTGAGGCAGGGTCTCTCAATCAAACTTCGAGCTCACTGATTCAGCAAGCTTTCTCTGAGAAGTCCTTGCCTCTTCCTTTTGAGATTGGAATTAGCCAGCACTGATGTGGGTTCTGGAGATGTGAACTCCAGTTACTAATGTTTGGCAACTACTGGCCCATCTCTCCAGTCTCCTTCCCCAGTCCTTTTATTTTTAGTTCTTATTTTGAGAGTCTTGATAAGTTCCCCAGAGTAACGCTAAATTCCACCCCCCTGCTTAGGAAGTAGACTGCAAAACAAAGCAGTAAGTTATTGTGCTATTGAGTTTCTCTCAAAAGACTAGGAAACTTCTATCTATAAACATTGTATAAAAACTGTGCAGAAAAATGTTGTATTATTCAGTGTCACTCTATCAACAATTTCATAAACCAACAAATTTTCACATTTGGTTTTGTCAGGGGAGAAACTACAATAAGCAACAACAACAAAGACTACAGAAAGCAAACGAGTTTGTGTACAAAAAGGAAGGAAAACAGCAATAATCGGAGGATGAGAAAGGGGAACTTACTCGCAGTTAGCAAGTGTGGATAAGGACGCATCCATCTTCTCTATTGGGGGGATCTGGGCATACAGCTTTATCTCTCTGGCCTCAGACGGCCTCTGACCAGTCTTTTCTTCCTATGGAAAAATTAATTTCACAAAAGTGATCCTTGGTAATAATGAGGAACCAAAGAAGTCAGAATTTCACAAGGCCTTTCGATGTCTGTTTCAAAATAATTATTATTATTAAACTTGGGTTATTATTCACCATTCACTTACTGGAATGTGTACTTGTTGGCCTTAACAGCCACATTTGTACATACCCTGGCATCTACCTTCATTTCTAAGACAGTGTCCCCTACTGAACCTGGAGCTCCCAGATGGAGCTAGACTGGCTGGTAATCCCCGGGAATCCTCCTGTCTCTATCTCCTCCACCCTGGGACTTATAGGTGCTACTGCACCCAGTGCTTTATGTAGGTGCTGGGGAGCTGACCTCAGGTTCTTGTGCTCCTGCAGCAAACACTGTACAACTGGGCCATTTCCTCAGCCCCAAGAATGACTCTTTAAAACGCAGTTAGAATAAACACAGAAACTGGTAGGCACCAACATAAAATTCAAGTACTTCATGATTCTACTCACTTTTGGCTATTTCCCCAGATACCTAAGCTACTGAAAGACTTTTATCCTCATCTAGCTATGGAGCAGGAGAGATGCTTGGGTCAGTGGTGAAAATGGTAATTCAGGAGTTAGGTGTGTACACCACGGTGGTGCACTTGCCTAGCATGTGTGAAGCTCTGTGTTCCATCCACCCGCAGTACTACACATACACAAATCCTCAAAGAGATCATTCGTCCAGTTTTCCCCAGTGGTAATGTTCAGCAGAACTCTATCACAACCAGGGGTGTTGTTATTTGAAAACCCATCACTGTATGCATCTTTTCCCCAATCTGCCTGGCATATTGGTATATAGGCACTTGTACATATTTATATTGTCCCCAAATCAAAAGAATCTCTTGTGCTGAATGGTCAGATGTAAACAAGAGCCTAAAATGTTCCTTGTAGTTTCTGAAAGAAGGACAAACCCATCTACTCACCCATCTGGCCAGGGCTTCTTTGATTGTTGTTGCTTTTGCCTTGAAAAGAAAGAAAGCGAAGTGGGGAGAAGGTAGGAGAAGCAGAGCTATCTTTACGCTCCATTGTGGACTCACTTGTAATGTGATAATTACAGGCCTCAATTCGCTCTCTGAAACTCTAAGATATAAACATGACTAACTCCTGACAGCCAGGTGATTTCTTTAAATACCTTTTAGAGAAAATACGGAAATTACTGTGTGATATTCAAACATTTCACTCCAAGTTAGTCTATAAAAAAGGTACGTCTTTCAGTACTAATATTAACATAAATCCTTTTTTCTTTGCTTTTTCATTAATTTATTTTTTACATTCCAATTCCAGTTCCCCTTCCTTCCTCTCCTCCCGCTCCTCCCCACTCGCCCCCTCCTCCCATCTGCTCCACGGGAAGGGTAAGGCCTCCCCAAGGAAGTCTACTAGGTCTGTCCCATCATCTCCTCGGGGCAGGACAAGGCACCTCTCCATTCCCATACCCCTGTGTCTAGGCTGGGCTCCACTAAGTCAGTTTGTGCATTAGTGTTAGGTCTTGGACCCACTTCCAGTGGCCTCATATATTGTCCCAGTCACACCATTGTCACCTATATTAAGGGAGTCTAGTTCAGTCTTTTGCAGGTTCCCCATTTGTCAGACCTGAGTCAGTGATCTCTCACTAGCTCAGGTCAGCTGTTTCTGTGGGTTTCCCCATCATGCTCTTGACTCCTTTGTTCATATTATCGCTCCTCCCTCACTTCGATTGTACTCCAGGAGCTTGGCCCATTGGTTAGTTGTGGATTTCTGCATCTGCTTCCACCTGTTTCTGGAGGAGGGTTCTAGCTTCTCTGGGGTTGTGGACTGTTGTAGGCTGGGCATCTTTTGCTTTATGTCTAGTATCCCCTTACAAATGAGTACATACTATATTTGTCTTTCTGGTTTAGGGTTACCTTCTCTTAGGATGTTTGTTTGTTTTTTTTCTAGTTCTGGCCATTTGCCTGCAAATTTTAGGATGTCATTGTTTCTTATCACTGAGTAGTAAAATAAATCTTGTTTCACTGATTCTATATCTCTTTTATGTCTTTTTTTTTTTTTTGGTTTTTCAAGACAGGGTTTCTCTGTATTGTTTTGGAGGCTATCCTAGAACTCCTTCAGTAGACCAGGCTGGCCTTGAACTCACAGAGATCCGCCTGCCTCTGCCTCCCAAGTGCTGGGATTAAAGGTGTGCGCCACCAACGCCCAGCTCTCTTTTATGTCTTAATATTGAAAGTCAGTGCATATTCAAATTAGGAACAATTTATGGTCACTGTGGCAAGATAGATGTGGTAAAATTTTAGAAGATTTTAATTTTATTTAATATAATACTCCTTTTTCATGTCTGCAAAGGATAACCTGACCAAAAAAAACTATTGAGTCTAGAACTGTAAATGATAATGAGCTCTATTAAGCTGTATTAATACATACAAGAAGGCTGGAGACAAAACAGACCAATCTGTAAGCATCGATCATTAGCTAATGCATTAAGGGGGACATGTTTATTTGAGTAAGTGTAGGAAGACATAAATGTCTACACTGGATAGTAATAACTGTCAGTTGAGAGTTAAAAGGAAATCCCTACTAGATAAAAGCCAAAAAGCCTGAAATAAATATCATACCTGAGGGAATTCCTTATTCATTTAGTTCAATAACTGTTCATTTTGTGTCTACTATGTGACAAGCATTGCTCTATGTTGTATTTTTCTGAGATGGCAAGTATGCACCATCACATCTGGCTTTCTATTTGCTTTTGACATATCAATGAACAAAACAGATTCCTGCCTTTCTAGAACTTACATCTATTAAAAGAAGTAGATATAGATGTGTGTATATAAAATATGTACATACATACGTATAAATATGATATATATGTAACCATAGGTATACCATATGCATACATAAAATAAATAAATATAAAAAGATAAGTAAATATAAGCAAAGTAAGTAATGTATTAGAAGGCAAACATTAGCTGGGCATTGGTGGTGCACGCCTTTAATCCCAGCACTTGGGAGGCAGAGGCAGGAGGATCTCTGTGAATTCAAGGCCAGCCTGGTCTACAGAGCAAGTTCCAGGACAGGCTCCAAAACAATACAGAGAAACCCTGTCTTGAAAAACCAAAAAAAAAAAAAGGCAAACATTATTTTAAAAGACTAACACTGAGGTTAGTAAATGGTATCAGGTTATATGCATGTATGTGTAGAGGACATTTACTTTAAATAAGATGGACAATATAGACTAACTTGGACATTAACGTTAAAGTAATTTTCTTTAGGATCCCAAACACATCAAGGATGTCCATTATCACTGCTTTGTCAATGTTTTAATAAAAGAACTACAAATTGGAATGATCTAAAGAAGGAAATTAAACTGTCACCAAATGCAGATGATGGTTTATATAGAAAAGAATAAACCACTGCTATCACAAATGCTTCAATAAGTGAAGCACACCATGACAAAGTTAACAACAAAATTGGAAGAAGATATTTTCCTTTCGAAACCAATAAAAGACTATGACAACATCTACTAAAATTCACAAATAAAAATTTTTAACTAGCAAAAACTAAACTATGAATTAGCAATTCATAGGTAGTCAAACCCAGTAAACTGATATGACTCTGAAAAAAAATGTTTGTATTCATTGAAAATCAGAAAAATTCAAAGTAAAATAAAAGAATATCACACACACATATACATCTTTAGATTAGCAAAAGTTGTTGACAATACAAAGAGAGAGGAACTCTTATGCAATGATGGAGGAAGTGAAAACTGCTCTGTGCATCCTGGAAAGGGAAAATTAAGTACACACAGACTCTGACTAAACACTGCTACTTTTATTTCCCAGGGAAATCCTTGCCTGGACCCATACAAAAGTGACACATGAAAGAGCATTTCACTACATTGTTGGAACAGAGTTAGAGGCAATGTAGCTACTTCTAGCAATATAAGTTGCTGTAGGATACTGGTTCCTCTTACAGATAGGAGCCTAAAATTCCTAAAAGACCAAGTGAACATTATAAGTCCATGTAAAGAACATAATTTTGCTGGGCAGTGGTGGCGCACACCTTTAACCCCAGCACTTGGGAGGCAGAGATGGGAGGATCTCTGTGAGTTCGAGGCCAGCCTGGTCTACAGAGTTAGTTCCAGGACAGGCAGAATTGTTACACAGAGAAACCCTGTCTTGAAAAACAAAAAATAAAATTTCTACTCAATATAATTTCTGGCTGGTGGGACTTACAGAAAAAGAGGTACCTTAATACTACACTTCCTCAAATAGAAAAACTCCAGTAATTAAATAATATCCTTATTTCATACACCATTAATAAAGAATTGCTAAGCATGATGGCATACGCCCGTGATCCTAGGATTCTGTAGGCTGTGGATAAAAAGTTCGAGACCAGCCAATGATTCATAACAAACTCAAGGCAAACCTAAACTACCCAGAAAGACTTCGTCTTCAAAAACAGAAAATAAAAGATTGCATCAATTACCTAAAAGCATATTTTGGTAATATTAAATGTGAACAAAACTTATGTCCATGGTGAAACATGGCACTTCTAATTTTTCAGAAAGGCCAGAAACCTGAGTTTGTTTTTAACTTTTTAACGTGTGTGTGTGTGTGTGTGTGTGTGTGTGTGCGCGCGCGCGCGCTCGTGCATACATGCATAATATGCATGCATGAGCAATAGTGTATGGAGGTCAGAGGACAAATTTTGAGAACATGTGGGTCCCAGGGTCTGATGGCATACTTAAAAAAATTCAAGTGCAGCCGGGCGTTGGTGGCCCACGCCTTTAATCCCAGCACTTGGGAGGCAGAGGCAGGCGGATCTCTGTGAGTTCGAGGCCAGCCTGGTCTACAAAGTAAGTTCCAGGACAGCCTCCAAAGCTACAGAGAAACCCTGTCTCGAAAAACAAAAAAACAAAAAAAAAAACAAAAAAAAAAATCAAGTGCTATGTAGGCCTTCATTCCTGAAGGGACCAGGCCTACCAGTATGCAGTTGGTATGAGGCAGTACATGACTTCATGATTTTAACACGGGGCTTAATTTCCATGCATTGATATAGCACTGAAAATACATACACACACACACACATATATATACACACGCACGCAGGCACGCGCCTGCTGATTATACTGTTTTGCTATTTTCTTTTCTTGTGCAGAGCTAGAGTTCCAACCTAGAGTCTCACACATGCTAGGAAAGTGCTCTACTCTAGTTCCACCAGTGAGGGATACCTCCTCCCCACCCCCCACAATGTATTTATCTCAGACCGAGGATGACCTTGAACTTTTGCTTCTTCTGCTTCCACCTTTTGCGTACTGGGATAACAAGTATGTGCCACTATGCCTGACAATTCGTGGTGCTGGGGATTGAATCTGTAGCTTCATGCATGCCAGGCAAACACTCTTATCAACGGAGCTACAATATTCATCCTTTATCAACATCTCTAGTCAGCAGGTAAACCTCATACTTCGCTAAATAGTTTTGGCTGGGCTGGATCTGAAATCGTTTTCAAACTAATAGTTTGAAATGCCAAGTATGTAAGCAAAAGAGCGCGCATTTTCCATGTTGACAAGCATCATTAGTTAAAATCGTGACTTCATGAGAACTTTGCATAGACCATTGGTAGAATGCAAACCTAAACCAGCAACGCCTCTCAAAGCGTGGTGTGTGCTCCCCAATTTCAGAATTACTTGAGGTGCATACTCAAAACATTCCTGAACCCCCTATCATATTAAAAACCAATAATTTGCATTGCAATGAAGTTCATACTTATTCATATTGGAACCGGAGGAATATTGGCCTAATAGATTCATCTGAGAGACCTTTAACAGCGCCACCCGATAACAGGACTCACCCTCACAGCCACCGAGGGCACCCGGGCACACCACAGGCTACCAACGCAGCTGCAGCAGGAGCCCTCTGTAACCAGCCCGGGCCCCGCCATCCCGCCAGGGGGTGAGGAGAGGCAAAATCGGGGTTCCACGAAGAGATCCCTTTACCACAGCCCCCATCCTATCACGGTTCCCTCTTGAATCCGCTTTCCCGAAAATTTCCAGCTGTCTCTCCTTTTCTTCTGTCACAGCCCTTCCAGCTTAACCCAACTTCCTGTCAGCCTCTGGCCTCCCTCTCCGCAGACCACCGCTCGCCCCGGCTGCTCCGGCCTTCCTCCCATCCGCGGGACCAGCGCCCCGCCACCCTCCACACGCCACAGTCACCCCCTTTTCCACTCCCAATCTCCTCTCAGGTTTGGCGGCGAGGCCTGGAGGGTACTAACCATTCCGGCGGTTGCTACCGTCACTGCTCTGGTTGCTAGGGCCCGCCGGGGTCAGTGCGCAGGCGCACCTCTGGAGTGCACCGCTTGCTGCACTGGCAGCGGTCCTTTCTCTCCGCCCTTAGGGTGGCGCGAGCGGGGCATTGTGGGACGGCTGGCGGCCCCCCGGATCCTCCAATCCCGCTCTGCTGCACCCGTGCTGGTATGGACCAGAGCTCAACTCCCCGGGGGAGTAGTCGCCGTGCTTTCCCAGTGCCAATGTTGCCTTAAGCTTGAAACTTTCAGACCTCCTGATAACATTTGCATTCCTGCTATAAAAGATTTTTTTAAGTCCTTCTCTGGAAAACCGAAGGGAGAGGTTAAACTGCCTTCTGCAATTCGCTTTGCCGTCTAACTCAGAGCTACACTATGAACTTCTCTTTTCCTTACCCTAGATCCTCCAAGGCGCCGGAAATCTCGGCTGCACACTTACAGTATTACAAAATGCTGGTTTTTGTGCAACCGAGGTATCTTTTTCCTTCCCTAAGAAGTCACCTAGAAAATTTAAACAGACGCAAGTTTTAATAGAGTTGCTAGGGGCATGGAAAATAGAGCTGCACAAATAAATACACAGCTGCGAACAACTGATGCCACTTTTCTGGGAAGGCTGTTGGTGGTATGTGTTTAAAAGCTTTAAAAACGTGTGTACCTTCGTGACCAAGCCTGAAGTTGTGTCTTCGTCCAGAAGAACAATCAACGAAGCACGAATGTAATCGCCCCAGCACATGCACACGTTCAAACCTTAATAGGAAAAAGAAAACATAAATGTCAACAGAGAAGCGTTGGTTAGGTAAGTAGTATTAAATATACAAATGATGGAATAACGGTTCTATTAAAATATTGTGGAAATACATCTATTGGTTGTTTTCCATACCAGGGCCTATTGTTTCTGCGGGTGGAGTGGGATAGTCAGGTTGGAGCTAAGTCATTCTTTATGGCCAGGAGCTGTTGCCCAGCATATCTTTATTCTGTTCCTCATGACCCGAAGCTATTACCAAACCCAAAGGTATTGGTATTTTAAGTAAAGATTCAAGCTGCTAAGCAAAATAAGTGATAGGGTCCTCTTTAAAATCTATATAGTGCACAGGACGGTTCAAAAACCATTTTAAAAGGGTATTATAAAGGTTCGGGAGTTGTTATCCACAGATCTGTGTCTCCTCAAGATTCATATGCTGAAGTCTTAATGTCCATGTCACCGTATCTAGACACAGCTTTAGAGTTAAGTGGGTCATAATCCAGGACCCATGTCCTTGTAAGAGCAAGAGACACAGCCCAGCAGTGGTGGTGCACACCTTTAATGTGTGCAGAGGCAGGCAGATCTCTGTGAGTTCCAGGCCAACCTGGTCTACAGAGTGAGTTCCAGGACAGTCAAGGCTACACAGAGAAACTCTGCCTCAAAAAAAAAATAAATAAATAAAAGAGTAGAGACACTCAGAGGACCACCAGCATCCGAGAACCTCTTGGCTAGTGCCTTGCTCGTTAGCTCAAGGTTCCAAAGTGTGAGAAAATAAATTCCTATTGTTGAAGCCACTTAATTTGTGGATCCTCATTACAGCAGCTCAAGCTGACTAATAAAATGTTATTGCTTGTGTGTTTCCTGATTGCTCTTTGTTGTGTTTTTTTTTAATTTCAGAATAACAAATTTCAGTATGAAAAAGATAATGCAATGCATTTAAAAATAAAGAATGACAAAACATTTATTAAATAAAATAAAAACATATATTTGTAACATATCCAATCTCTGTTTTTCCAAAGACCAATCACGTTGCCCATCCCTACTAACTAGAATTCCCCCTTGCCTGTCAAAAATCCCTTACTGATTTTGTTTATGTGAGAATCCAGTCCTGAAACATATTAGATGGCCAGAATATTCACTTTACCAACAAAAAAACAACCTATGGATTATACTCAATGGAATCAATAATCATAGTTTAATATCAATAAATCAACTTTTTCCGCATACTCATCTGTGTTTCCTCTTGTCCTTGCAGTAGTAAACTCTGACCATGAGCATGTCCTGTTTTCCTGTCAGGTCTAAAAGAAACTGGGGATGGATGCTAGCTGTGGTGCCTGTTAGCATACCGCAGTGCAATGCTGACCTGTAGGCTCTCACCCTTGCCCTGCCCTGAATGTCTCCAGCTCGTGGACTTCCCTCCCCCAGCTCTCTTGGTCCCCTCTCTTTGATGCTTTTCTCTCTCTCTCCCTCCTCGCCTCCTCTCTTCTCCCCGCTCCCCCCCCCCCATCTCTGCTCACATAGCCCGGTCATCTGTAGTCTGCTACCTCCTCTCCCTCTGGACTCTTCCAGATGCCTCTGTGTGTACCTCCCTCGTATCTAGAATAAAAACCTTCTCTTCAGCCGGGCTATGGTGGCTCACACCTTTAATCCCCGTACTCAGGAGGCAAAGTCAGGTGGATCTGAGTTTGAGGCCAGCCTGGTCTACAGAGTGAGTTTCAGGACAGACAGAGCTACACAGAGAAACCCTGTCTCAAAAATTAAAACAACAACAACAAACAAACACAAAACAAACCTCTTCAATCGTATCTTGGAGCAGCCATGTCCTCATTTATACATCTGGTTTTGAAACCCCCACTTTGAACATTTACCCCTATACCAACTTCATATTGTCAGACATTTACTTGTCTCTGCAAATTAATTCAGCACATTTTGACACATTTCGTATCAAGAACACTGAGCGCTAGGTATGTGTCCTGTACCTTTACTCCTAACACTTGGGAGGCAGATATCTGAGTTTGAGGCCAGCCTGGTCAACATAGCAAGTGTCAGATCCTAACCCCCCAGAATGGCAGTCTGGGCTCAGCTAAGACTGAACTCTGACCCTGTAAGAACTCAGCATTCCTCAGGAAACCATTACTTTCTTTTCTTTCTTTTTTTTTTTTTTTTTTTTGAGACAGGTTTCTTTGTGTAGCATTGTGGACTAGCCTGGCCTCGAACTCACAGAGATCTGTCTGCCTCTGCCTCCCAAGTGCTGGGATTAAAGGTGAGTGTCACCACCACCTGGCTTGAAAAGCCATTACTTTCTGATCTGGTACTACTGGTTCCCAACCTCCAGAAGGCATTTAATTCTCCATTAACTTGAGTAAGCCTCCAACAGACCAGAGCCCCATGGTAGTTCCCAGGCTGTGCCTGCTAACCTACCCCCGACCCCCATAACAGGCAGGGTTCTCCCAACATAACCCCTATAACAGGCAGGGCTCTCCCAACATAACCCCAATAATAGGCAGGGCTCTCCAACATAACCCCTATAACAGGCAGGGCTCTCCAACATAACCCCCCCATAACAGGCAGGGATCTCCAACATAACCCCAATAATAGGCAGGGCTCTCCAACATAACCCCTATAACAGGCAGGGCTCTCCAACATAACCCCTATAACAGGCAGGGATCTCCCAACAGTTTGCTGTCTTCTCTGCTCCCACAGCCCTGGAAGCTGCGAGTCTGCTCCTCTCCCTATCTCTTCTCTCTCTGTCCCTGAGAGGTAGCCATGGAAGACCCCCATATGCCCCCGGCTATGCTCTTTCTCTTATCTACACTACTACTACTACTACTACTACTAATAATAATAATAATAATAATAATATAGCAAAAACCCTTTCCCTTAATCATGGTATGACTATGTCAGTGGTTTCTTTACTTCGACCCTTGCCCCAGGAAAGCCAAGAGTACAGAGAGGCCCTGTCTCAAAAAAGTAAAAACAAAACTGAAAAGAATGTTTTGGGTTTCCAGTTTTTTAAGACTAAAAATATCCCCATAAGACACAAAAGAATTATGTAACAGAGCCTTCCTTTCCTTTTTCTTCTTTCTTGCTTTTTTCAAAAGTCTTTCAAAATCATTAAATAGATTGATTCTACAAGTTATTCACTAGAGAATGTGGCTTTGTGTCAGTTTGTAATAATTTCAGGCCTGGGTAAAAGAAGATTGAGAGAAAAGTTTAAAATAGTATTGAAATAGTTTCCCAAAATTCAGAAAATCTGGACTCTGATAAGTGCAGCTAAAATGTTAAATGATGAAAAAATGGAATGAATATCTTTTAAAAAATCCTAATCTTTAAGCAAAGGTGTGTATTGAAGGAAAGAGAAGAAAATTTGTCATGTATCACACTATTAGCAACTTGTATAAACTAGTTGCAATAGTCATTGTTAATATTTTATAAAGGTGAGAGATTTATTAGCTCAAATTAGAATTGTCATTTTACCAAATTCCCATAGTCAGATTATTTTCATAGTCTGGTTTCCAATTCTGATTATGGTTGCCATTATAGTTATTTGATTTTTAAAAAGCTAATCTTTTCCTCATGGGATTTTTGGTTTGTTGTAGAATAAACCTCTTGCTAGGTGTGATGGTGCATACCTTTGGTAGAATTTGGGAGACAGATGCAAGTGGATCTCTATTAGTTTGAGCCCAACCTGGTCTACACAGAGAGTTTCAGGCCAGGCTCATAATAAGACCCTGACTCAAATCTCCATTAATGACAATAACAACAATAATAAAGTGAGCTCCTTGATTACTATGTCTCCTAGCTATTGGGTATATCGTTTATCTCCCCAAGCCAATATATCTCTCCTAAATAATGACCTATGTTAACCACAACAACAATTCAAAGCAAATAAGGAGAACAAACAAACGAGAACAGCAGCAGTCGCAATAAACCCGAAGTATATCTCATTGATTTATTCCCTTGGCTGGTGTTGGAGGGATGCCTAAGAGACCTCAGCTTAGACGGCAAAGGGTGTGACTCACTTGAACTCTGCTGTGCCTAGAGTTTGGCAGGCGCAGTAGGGGATGGGGAGGGTCCCTGGGTTGGATGGCCTGCCAGTCTAGCCAAATACATGAGCTCTAGATTTAGTGAGAGAGTTTCAAAGATGGAATAAGAAAGGTGAGGGCTGGGAGATATCTTGTCGCCAAGCCTGATGATCTGAGTTTGAAGTCCCACCCCCACCCCGCCCCCGAAGCCACACAGGAGAAAGAACAAACTCTCAGATGCTCCTGTAGCCTTTTTGGCGGTTTCGCAGCTAATGCCTTTTGTGGACAGCCCAAGGTCCACAACTGATGGCATGATTATCCATTAAGGTAATTTGTTGTCTCAGGTGTTTTTAAAATCGGGGCTTTATCATGAAGGCTGGGGCCGGGGTTTCCAAGTTTGACAGGGCTGTACAAACAGCAACAAGGCTTGGATGTGAAATACTCCAAATTTATAGAAATAAAATATAAGCATAAACAGGGAGGGCACTCCACTAGAGAACTTGGGAAGTGAACAAAGGACCCCATCCCAGGAACTGGCCAAACCACAGAATGGAGTGTATGGTTTACCAACCTTAATTGCAGAAGGGCTGTAAACCCACAAAATGCCAATTCCGGGCTGCTGACCACCTGTGAAGAACTGACCTAGTCACCTGCTGTGAATGGCACACGCCCTGTCCCTTTCATCCATCTGTAACTCTGTACCCATTCATCACCCTTTCTCCCTGCCTCTTCTCTCCTCCTGCAGATTGTTAATCATACTCTCAACTTGGTTACACTCCCTACTTGCCTTTTGGTGTTTTCCTTTTTAAAAGTGTCATAGAACTCACTTTAGGTTTGTGATATCTGTGTGTCACAAGGAAAATTATTAGCAAGTTTAAAAAATGATTACTTTTTAAAAATGTTTCCATCTAAACTCTCCAACTTGGCTTTCAAAGCCTTCATTCTGTGGCTGTAACTTGACTTGAATTTGCCAGTAGTTC